GTAAGTCTGGTTAACGGCGATCGAGAAGCAAGTGTCCGGTCGTAACTAAAAGGAATTTAAAATAAATGTGTATAAATGGTTGAGAGCCAAATAAATGGTTGAGAGGCAAACATGCCTATTGCCTAATCAATAAAGCCTAATTACAGGGACACATATGTGGGCCTCACAAAGACAGATAACAAAAATATGTTCAAATAAAAGAGAAGAATATTTAAACATAACCACTGCATCATTACTCAATTCATCTTCACTGATAAAGACTTTTCTTGTGAAAAAGTAATTAGGAGCAGCTCTCAAACAAAAGGTACTGGCCCGGCCCCTATATAACTATAAACCTTCTTTGTTTGAATCAATACACCAATTGGTCAGAAGCTGAAGGCAGACAGATTTCTAACTAATTCGACAGTTCAGACTGAATTAGTTCAACACGAAAAACATCTCAATTCCATACCTTGAGAAAGTCTAATGTGCAGGCAATATACTATAATCTAAAGTGCATGTTATAGCCTGGCAGCAGCTCTACTGTTGCAAAATAAGTGTGGTTCGAAAAAGGATGCATATATTGCAGCTGCATATATTACAGCTGCTGCACGCTCCACATACGACCACTCATTCGCAGTGAGAGCTGGAAGACTCTGGAATGTTCTCCCAAAAATTGTCAATACTCAAAGGACTTTGACAAGCTTCAAGACATCTCTTGGAAACTTCCTAGACACCCTTCCAGACAAGCCCCCTACTCCTGGATACAGTGCAGAAAACTCTAACTCGATAATAGACTGGTGCAGTCAAGGAGGTGGTCCGCAGATTGCGTGATGGCCGTGAAGATGCCTACTTCTAAACCTATCAATAGGTTCAATAGGTAGGTATTGAATTCTCGCAACAGGATTATATTATTTGAATATCATTGTAAGCTTCCAAGTGGTCCTTTCTAAAAAGCTAGACGTCTATCTACGCGACTTTATTGGCTTCTCACTACTGGTAGTTAAACTGCACTGCAAAGTGCAGATGCTTTAATATCTGCTCTATAAACATTAAACATACATAATATTTAATATATTGGATATTGTAAAGGGATGTCATAATGTAGAACGTTAAAAACTGACCTTAGGCTATATTATAATATAAGAAATTCAATAAACAGAAGACACGATAAAATAAGAAATTTAGTTTCGCATAATTTTACAGATATTCCAAAACCACATCAACTCAGGAGGATAAATTTACAGTGGGGCTGTGCTAGGAGGACTGTACGTGCCACCCCAGTATGAGCAGCATTAGATTAAATTATATTATAAATTATGGACGTTTAATTATAATTCTGGAGGTGTCGCCGTGAAAGGCGGTTAATCTGAATAATAATCCAGCAAGTTGGTGAACTGCCTTATGTCTAGAAATGTTGGAGAGCATATTGTATGTTGGGGGAATTATGTGGGACCTTATTATGGGGGATTTCCAAAATCCATTAAGGCATTCCCCAAGATACCACAGAATACCCTTGGCTTCCCCCCTAGGTTACATACAGCTTCGTACATGTTACACACGTCTTCACAAAGTTTAGACTATAAAGGGAAGAATTATAATTGTAATTATGATTAATTAATTAATTAATTGTAATTAAAATTATACCCCATGCTACTAGAGTCTAGACTTGGATAAGATCAAAGGGTATACGTATGATATGATAAGTTTTAGAAGCTGATGTAATGTGGTCTAGGGCGTGGGGGCCAGGGGGGGGGGGGGGGGTCAGGTACTAAGTGCCGTACGTGGGGGGGGGGGGGTCAGGTACTAAGTGCCGTACGTTACGTCGACTAAGTGCAGTTTGGACTTTACAAAAAGGACCCACCCTACAAATTATACCCACTATTTAGTAGGGGTTTTGTTTTCAATGTAGTCGAATTAGATAAAAAGTTACAAACAAATTTTAAAAATTACAAAAAACCCAAAAAAATCAAAAAAACCTCAAAACCCATTCCCAAAATTAAAATTTGAGGTATAGTAAAATGGGTTTTTTGGGGTTGGACACCCAAAAAATGAGGTCCCTTAGTACCATGTACTAACTACTTTTCTGTGAAATGAGCAGCAGACCCACCACTTAGTACAAGAGTACTAACTGCGTTTTGGAAGAAAATATGACCCACCCGACCCACCCAACGTCACGTACGATTCTGATCATATGATCCCCCCCCCCCCCCCCCCCCCCGCCGTTCAGGGATGAAGTAACAATTAATATAAATAGTCTCATATAAGTAAAATGTAAAGACTTTTAGAACATTAGGAGTAAATCTGAGCTGCTCATTGTACGATTTGTCACATACATGGGATGCAATATAGTGAAATGTAATCAATGCAATCAACAGCCGATTAGTATCATGTTTTACTAATTGAAATATGATACAGTCTTACAGTCCATATTGGAAATTGATATGCAATGGGTGTGAATTTCTTGAACGCTAATAGGATCCAATCAAGAAGCAAGTCGGAAACTAGAAAGAATATTGTCTATAATGCAGAAAAGGTGATGAGCCAAATTCAAATGCGCACCTAATCGATGTAACTTGATTATACGTGAAGCCAACAAATTTACAGACACTGATAACAAAAACATAATGAAAATATTTCATAAAAAGGTTAGATCACCGCTGGATTAAACTTAAAATCTGATAAAAAGTCTCTTCTGCTGAGAAATAATTAGCACCGACCTAACGAAAATTGCCGCATTAAAAGTTAAAAGGAGACCAGAGATGAAGACAGCGGTAAAATATGGAACAAAACAGAACAAAGTAAACATATTTCAATGTTGCTTTGGGGTGGTAACTTGGTAAGTCCCCTTTCATCGCAGTCCGCTAGTTTTACTGCCTCTCAATATATGCAGTACGAATCCTAATCCTCCTCGTGTACACTAAGACGACGTTTCTCTTATAATAATAATAATAAATTGAAATTTAATCTTAAATTTATTAATTTAATTTATTAATTTAATTTATCATTTTATAATTTATCTTATATGGAGCGGTGAAAAATTGAAGTTCTTAATTCATATTATGGTACTGTGTTCAGTGTTGATGAGCACATCATCAAACAAGTCTCAACTATCAATTCGGAAGAAAATTGAAGCAATGTAATATATAAGTAAACGTTTAAAATAATGATAAGGGATGAATATAAAATATGTTTTTTATGGTATAAAAATGTTTAAAAGGAGTAAAAACTGTATCTGGAGGTTTAGAACTGATTAAGGTGGGGTTTAGCCTGAAATTTATGTGAAACTAGATTTCGTAGCTGAAAGAAGCAAAATAGGAAAAAAGAATAACAGAACAAAGGTAACAAGTACAGGCGATGACTGGGAAGAGGATTAAGAGAGATATGTACAAGGTATGTAAGGAGGGGAGTAAGGAGGGGAGTAAGGAGGGGAGTAAGAGGAGGAGAATATTTCCCAACATATCTCAAGCGTTAATGAACACTAAACAGCTAGTTCAACTTTATGCCTCAACATTCAATACCAAGTAAAAGTACTTAGAAACAGCTCTCAAAAACTTAGGTAAGTAAGGCCATTAATATGTTCAGAGTCTCGGGAAACAACGGTGATAATACCACGATGATACCCAACATTCAACAAGAGAAATAACCAACCCAACACCAAGCTTGTCACCTAGCAACCAGGCTTGTCACCTAGCAACATTGCGAATGTAAATAGCTGCACTGATGGTGATTTATTCATACTAGGAAGCCGTTGTAGTGAGCTGAAGGAGTGTTATTACACACATCACACATTATCACACATTATCACACAATAACAGCCACATGTATAGTTGTTATTAAACGGCACAAGTACGGAACAATACAGTTGTAGTAACACGATATCATATACCTATTGTACATGCTGTTAACCTTACTGTTGTCATGGCAACAGCTCTGTGACTCGTGTGAGTTCACTACTGTTCATAATACACACACACACACATACGCACACACGCACACACACACACACACACACACACACACACACACACACACACACACACACACACACACACACACACACACACACACACACACACACACACACACACACACACACACACACACACACACACACACACACACACACACACACACACACACACACACACACACACACACACACACACACACACACACACACACACACACACACACACACACACACACACACACACACACACACACACACACACACACACACACACACACACACACACACACACACACACACACACACACACACACACACACACACACACACACACACACACACACACACACACACACACACACACACACACACACACACACACACACACACACACACACACACACACACACACACACACACACACACACACACACACACACACACACACACACACACACACACACACACACACACACACACACACACGCACACACACACACATTGCATGTTACAACATAAACATATTATAATGACACTCGACATGATAATATTACTTCCTTTCCTTCACCTGCCGCTTCCGTTTAAAACCCTTCAACGTTATGTTCTAATCATTTGTCCGGTTTCTCTAATGATGGCCCGTTATCAGATAATCTGAGGTTCACTGTCTTGTCCGCGCTCGAAAACTGCACACCCTGGACTCTCTTAGTCCCTCACAGTCATCCTCGCTAACCAGCCAGTCAGCTCTCTGTATTTCAGTCACGTGATCGTAACTGGCCAGTCAGAGCACTGCAGCAGTTGTACAGAGTACGCCACCGTCAGCTAAATGCAGCCTAAATATGCACGCCTCCTCATTGGTTGCCCGGGTGATCACATGACTCACATCTCTGCTTCCTATTGGTCAACGTGACTGGCCAGCGCGCACACGTGTCCGTGAATGTTTAATACTATTACAGCAAAAGGAGGGAGATTATTCCTTATTTGGCATAATACGGTGAGTAGAGGAAATACTGTGATAACATTTCTCTCAGAGAGCACTGTGTGTTGCGAGCTACGTGAGGGGAGAGTCAGCTCTTCTCTCTGTAGCTGTACTGTACTGCGTGTCTGTTGGGGACAGTGAGGTGTGGGGACTGTTAGAGTTTGTGTGGGGGCGGGGTGGGGGCTGTTAGAGTTTGTGTGGGGACTGTTAGAGTTTGTGTGGGGGCGGGGGCTGTTAGAGTTTGTGTGGGGCGGGGGGGCTGTTAGAGTTTGTGTGGGGGGGGGACTGTTAGAGTTTGTGTGGGGGCGGGGGGACTGTTAGAGTCTGTGTGGGGGGCTGTTAGAGTCTGTGTTTGGGGACTGTGAGAGTTTGTGTGGGGGCGGGGTGGGGAGCTGTTATAGTTTGTGTGGGGGACTGTTAGAGTTTGTGTGGGGGCAGGGTGGGGGACTGTTAGAGTTGGTGTGGGGGACTGTGAGAGTTTGTGTGTGGGGGCTGTTAGAGTCTGGGTGTGGGGGACTGTGAGAGTCTGTGTGTGGGGACTGTGAGAGTTCGTGTGGGGGACTGTGAGAGTCTGTGTGTGGGGGACTGTGAGAGTCTGTGTGTGGGGGACTGTTAGAGGGCTGTTAGAGTTTGTGTGGGGGAGGGGCCGGGGCCGGGTGGGGGGCTGTTATAGTTTGTGTGGGGGACTGTTAGAGTTGTGTGGGGGCGGGGTGGGGGACTGTTAGAGTTTGTGTGGGGGGGGGGCTGTTAGAGTTTGTGTGGGGGCGGGGGGCCGGGGTGTTATAGTTTGTGTGTGGGGACAGTGAGAGTCTGTGTGTTCGGGACTGTTAGAGTCTGTGTGGGGGGGCTGTTAGAGTCTGTGTTTGGGGACTGTGAGAGTTTGTGTGGGGGCGGGGTGGGGAGCTGTTATAGTTTGTGTGCGGGACTGCTAGAGTCTGTGTGGGGGGCTGTTAGAGTCTGTGTTTGGGGACTGTGAGAGTTTGTGTGGGGGCGGGGTGGGGAGCTGTTATAGTTTGTGTGCGGGACTGTTAGAGTTGTGTGGGGGCGGGGTGGGGGACTGTTAGAGTTTGTGTGGGGGGGCTGTTAGAGTTTGTGTGGGGGCGGGGGGCCGGGGTGTTATAGTTTGTGTGTGGGGACAGTGAGAGTCTGTGTGTTCGGGACTGTTAGAGTCTGTGTGGGGGGCTGTTAGAGTCTGTGTTTGGGGACTGTGAGAGTTTGTGTGGGGGCGGGGTGGGGAGCTGTTATAGTTTGTGTGTGGGACTGTTAGAGTCTGTGTGGGGGGCTGTTAGAGTCTGTGTTTGGGGACTGTGAGAGTTTGTGTGGGGGCGGGGTGGGGAGCTGTTATAGTTTGTGTGGGGGACTGTGAGAGTCTGTGTGTGGGGGACTGTTAGAGTCTGTAGCTGTGTGTGGGGACTGTTAGAGTTTGTGTGTGGGGAACTGTTAGAGTTTGTGTGGGGGACTGTTAGAGTTTGTGTGTAGGGGACTGTTATAGTTTGTGTGTGGGGGAATGTTAGAGTTTGTGTGGGGGACTGTTTGTGTATGGGGGACTGTTAGAGTCTTTGTGGGGGACTGTTAGAGTTTGTGTGGGGGACTGTTAGAGTTTGTGTGGGGGACTGTTAGAGTCTTTGTGGGGGACTGTTAGAGTTTGTGTGGGGGACTGTGAGAGTTTGTGTGTGGGGGACTGTTAGAGTTTGTGTGGGGGGCTGTTAGAGTCTGTGTGGGAGACTGTTAGAGTCTGTGTGTGGGGGACTTTGAGAGTTTGTGTGGGGGACTGTTAGAGTTTGTGTGGGGGACTGTTAGAGTTTGTGCGGGGAACTGTTAGAGTTTGTGTGGGGAACTGTGAGAGTCTGTGTGTGGGGGATTGTTAGAGTCTTTGTGGGGGACTGTTAGAGTTTGTGTGGGGGACTGTGAGAGTTTGTGTGGGGGACTGTTAGAGTCTTTGTGGGGGACTGTTAGAGTTTGTGTGGAGGCTGTTAGAGTTTGTGTGTGGGGGACTGTTAGAGTTTGTGTGGGGGACTGTTAGAGTTTGTGCGGGGAACTGTTAGAGTTTGTGCGGGAAACTGTTAGAGTTTGTGTGGGGGACTGTTAGAGTTTGTGTGGAGGCTGTTAGAGTTTGTGTGGGGGACTGTTAGAGTTTGTGTGGGGGACTGTTAGAGTTTGTGCGGGGAACTGTTAGAGTTTGTGTGGGGGACTGTGAGAGTCTGTGTGTGGGGGACTGTTAGAGTCTTTGTGGGGGACTGTTAGAGTTTGTGTGGAGGCTGTTAGAGTTTGTGTATGGGGGACTGTTAGAGTTTGTGTATGGGGGACTGTTAGAGTTTGTGTGGGGGACTGTTCGAGTCTTTGTGGGGGCTGTTAGAGTTTGTGTGTGGGACTGTTAGAGTCTGTGTGCGGGGGACTGTGTGTCTGAGTATTCTATCTGAGAAACTGCCTTTGTTACATGTGGATCCAGTCTGTGTATCAGTTGATCTGTGTTTGTCTGAATGTTGGTCTGTGTAACAGTGGATCTTCGTTTGTGTTTTGGTTTGTGTGTCCGTGACTTATATGTATAGTAAATTCTACATACCTTTTTATTTCGATGTGTCGTGATCTCAGCAATGTCTCGTGGTACAACAATGAAACCTCGTTTAACTGTATTGAGATCAATAGTCACACATCCTCTAAATATGAGCGTATGTTTACGTGGTGTGGTGGAGTGTAAGGTGTGTTCAACTGGAATGTTCAACTGGAATGTTCAACTGGAATGCATGAGAGTGCACAATGTAAGTCAGTCAGAAAGGACAGCTCGGAACCTTGCTTAACAAAGTACGTAATGCTTACGAACAGGCTTCATCTTGGTGCGATTTTGTGTGTTCTGTAAAAGTTGTGATCTGCTAAACATGTTATCACCAAGTACATCAAACCTCGATTTCAAGAGACTATTCAGTAAATTTAGGATTATTTTTTCGAAAGAAAATTCCGTTAAATACGGATCTGGTTTTGTATTGTACTGTGTCATGCAAATCACTACTTTTTGGTGCACTACACTCCACTACACTTCACTACACTTCACTACACTTCACTACACTTCACTACACTACGCTACGCTACACTACACTACACTACACATAACTACTATACACAATACAAATACACATAACTACGCAAGACGTCATTTTAGAAAATTACATTATATTTTATAAATCAAGGAAATAATATAGGATAACCGGAAATTAATGAACCGCTAAAATACAGAGGTTGTGACTGCTGATAACTAGCAATGGTACTGTAACCACATCACACATTTGACACGTTGTTTTCTAGCCAGTCAGCAAGTAGAGTAAATCATCATGTAAACTAAAAGATGGAAAGAGTGGAACGAGTCTTAAAAGCTACGTGAGTATTCCGTCAAAGAAAGTTTAACCTCAACAAAAATGATAAAGCTAGAGACTCGTTTGATAGCGTAGCTGAAGCAGAAATAGACATTATGATCTGTAACGCGTTACAAATAGACATTATGATCTGTAACGCTAATTGCAGTAGTACTCCAGGCCATAGTCCATAGGATACAGTTATAGCTGTTGTCTGTAATCGTATACTGGTAACTGCACTGGTGTCAGTAAAATGGACATTATTTCAATTCCATATAATATTATGTATTTCACAGTAATTCACTTTAACATTATTTCACTTCCACCTTATTATGTATGGAAACCTGGAGGTAACGTGGATATTTCGACAACGCCACATTAAGCTGTTACTGGTTAGCTAAATTCCTAACACTTAGCTTTTCTTTAAACCCAAAGTTACACTGTCACGAAACCATATTTTGGGTGCTAAAACTTGACCGACAAAAATCAGCAGAATTTGGTAGCGCATAAATATACATAAATGTACGTAAATGTACATAGATAAACATAACCGGTAGCAACGAACAACTTGTACTGCAATAAAGGACCCGTGTTCAGCATCTGACAAAATAGAACAATGAAATGTAAGGGGCCGGGGAGAGAAAAGAGTCAAAAGAATGTGCTAAAGAGACAAAGGAACCTCACCTCATACCCAAACAATGCACCAACTAATGTAATGTGTTCTGATCACCCCTATTAATGCGCCGTACGTGAACTATTATAACGTGACGTGTTAATAGCACAGATATACTTTAATACGTGCTAATCATGATGAATTGTGAGTAAATATTTACTGTAATTCTTGGAAGTGGAATATCATGAAATTAGAGAGCACAGCACACGAACTTGCTGTCACATTAATTTGGTCGTTGAGTAAGACACTGATTACACATACCAACAAATGCACATTAAATCTGAGAGAAGAGGGTGTAAATTTCAGTGATAAATTCATTTGACAACATTCCACAGTTCAGTTACAAAGCGGAATTCCAGACTTAAAAGCTTGAGTATAATCATTACATTTAACTTCAGACCTACTGACGCGCGGTTATTAAGGTAGAGTCTAACTAGCTGGGGGCTAAGAGTTCCAAATAACATACCTCATTGCTTTATCTATTTATAGACATAGTACACGTACGGACAAAGTATTATAGGATTTCTTAGAACATTAACAAATTAACAAATCAAAAACAGGTTTGCTGAGCTGTGGCCTGTACAATGTACAATGTACAATGTAATAAAACAGTGCTGCTAGACTGACGTTATAACGTACCAGAGGGACAACTCAACCAGTTACGGACACAACTAATATCGAAGATTGTGCGTGTTATTATACCGAACTGAACCGGAGCAATTATTAACAACAATTGACTGAGAGTCACGTGACAAGATGACGTGACGAGGTTTGGAGATGCTGATCTGTTGTCATGACACCTCACACCAGACTGGAACTTTCGTTTCTCAGAGTATTCCACGAAACTATCACGAAACTATCACAGACAACGTGGCACAAGTAAAAGTGTAGAAAGACAACAAATTCAAACAATTTTAACACGTATTCCTAGCCCTCCCTGTTAGGTCATTAGTTAACATAATTATAGGTATTATAAGGCAAAGTTCTTTGTGTCTCGGCCATGCGAGAATTTAATCAGACCCACGAATAGAGGGGCTTTAGAGCTTCACATTCTTTCAATGAGATTCTGTGAGCATCAAATAACGTGCAATTATTGGGCTATTATTGGACTAATTATGGGACTAATTAGTGAAACTAATTGTGCCACTCACGAATCTGTGCGTCGACCACCGGTAAGAGCCAAGAGGAGTAATTAACGACGCACGTGTTAAATTATTGCGAAGTAATGTAAATTCACGTATTATAAGAGTTATTTTGCGTTTATAATGTTTATTTAACGCACTTACCATATCCAATGTTTGCATGTAGATTAAGATAAAATAAAAGAAGTTTGTTAAAAGATTTAGATTGGGAACAAATCTCTTTCAGTATTGGAATTGAAGAAAGTTTTAATTGCTTCAAGTGCAATTTGTTTCGTATTATACAGTTACCACAAAATTGCAGAAGGATTCATGTAATTGAATTATTTACCTAAAACTATCATCAGCCTATCATTTATTCATAAAATTTTCTAATCAAAAGTTCCTAATTTCTAATAAAAGTTTCTGATTTGTAAATAAAAGCAATGAAACAAATATAATTTCGAAAATTAGCGATACGTAATTATAGTAGAAAATTTCTGCACATTAATATGCAAATTAGAAATAGTAGAGTGTGTTGCAACGACAACTAATTTACTATATTTCGGATGTAATTGATAAATCAATTCATTAATCAATTGCCATAATTAATGACCATGCAACAGAAGATTAAATTGGTCATTATTGTCGTTGCAAGACTAAACAATAAACTATTTTAAGTCCGCGAATCTGAAAACTACTTTCTATTTAATTTACCACCGAATTTTAAGATATCATACAGTGCGCTTCCTTTCACAATATCGATCACATACTGGCATCCTGTTATCGAATTTACTTAAAAAAGGTCACAAAATGGGCGAAAAGGCTTTTTGTGTAATTTAATTGAAAACGGACTGAAAAATTAAAGTTAACCTGCTATACTACCGCCAATCGTCAAGAATAGAAAGTCTAAGCATTGGATCGCAGCCAAACTAAATTATCTAAATTCCAGAGATTCTCAAATCATATCACTACACCGGTCCGAAAGCCTCTGAAATGTAAAATGTAACACCGAGGCCTGGATCCCTAAATACAATATTCAAAAAGTCAACATTCGGCTTTAAATCTAAAAGTTTAACGTCTACGTGTGGGGAAGCTGACTAGTAATAACCATCAGACAACTTAAGACACATTCACAAAAATACTCACATTTAAGAGCTGCAGATAAACGAGGGACAATTAAATGTGCAATAATTACTCGAAATTCCACGGAAGTTTTCTATCATGGATATTTGATAATGTTTGCTATTTCATGGCTAAGATACCACACAAAATATTTCATATAGCGGGAAAGGTATGCTTCGATGGAATGCTTTTCTTACGTTAAATTATTTTCCAATGGTCCACAAGACACAGCACTAAAATGACAAATAGAACCCCAAATCACGACTAATCACGTGATTACATATAATATAAATAATTTAACTTTTACTGCCACGCAAATTTGATTTCTGAAAAGGTACGTACATTAAAAACTGAAAGTTTGTGTGTGCTCACAAGACAGCGTTGAGCCAGTGTACAATCGACCTGATCTGTTGCATGCCAGACTTGCTCGCAGCGGCGGAAGTCAGCGACATCATGTTCATAAACTGGAGGAACTTCTTTAGCACCTCAATGAGGATCTTCGGTTCTGGCATGAGCTTCTGTACCGTCTCCAGATGGTCTTCCTCTTTGGTGAGGATGCCGATTAACAGGGCTAGGTAGGAGCCAATCATACTCTCCTCCATGTGCTCACCAGCTTTCTCTATCATGTTGTCCACCACCTTCTTTACTTTTTCACTGTTCTTGTTATCTTTCTTGTCAGCAGGCTTCTTGAATTCAACAGCAGGTTCTTTGTATCCGAAAGGATCGTCACCGTTCTTTTCCTCCTCTGACTTGCTAGCTGAAGAAGCTGAGTTGCTCTCTCGTTTCTCCAGTCCTGGCTCCTCAATCTCCAGCTCAACTTCAGTAGGTTCCTCCCCCTCCTGCATACAGAGGGACTCTGCCTCGGAGAACGTCTGCTTCTCCAACTCAGCGGAACTGTTGTGGAACTTCAGGAATGTTTGTATGATCAGCTCTACTGAGGTCTTGTTCCTATCTTCAATAGAATCCTCAACAGCATCAAACCAAGGAGATGAGTCAAACCTACACTTGGCCAGGATGTTTCTGTTAGAGGGTACCTCTCCGAGAAGGTTGATGAGTAATCCTAAACCAAGAGTATAGCAATCCAGCTTGTGCTTTGTTCCGGCGTTGGAAGGCAAGAACAAGATAGTCTCCAGTATTACCTCTATCATGCCGTTGTATTTTCCTATCTCTGTACAGGTATACTCGTTTCCGTGGGTCAGATTCAACATCATCCTAAAAGTTGAGAACAGGCAATCAAAGACGTTGTCTAGATTCTTGCTCTTCCCCAACAACTTTATCTTGTTAGACCTGCTTTTGTGAATAACTGAAAGGCAATTCGTGAGTGTTCCATGTGTAGACTTGACGATCATTTTATTTTTGAAATTCAGAGCATAATTTTGGTTATCACTGTTCATGTAAGTCAAGTTTTCCAACATCTGGAGACACCTTTCGATCTTCGAAAATCTCTGACAGTTTTCGTTTGAAACTCTATGATACTTATCCAGTCGTGAAAGTATGAAATTGAAGCTTAGTATGAAGAAGTCAACTCCGCCCATGGTTCTGATAAACTCCCTGAAGTCAACATCTGCGGTAGGGGCTGTAAGGAAGATAAGGACCTCGTGTACCAGATCAGCTGTACTGATGTTATCAAGATCAATGAAATCAACTGTTTTCAACTCCTGACGAAACAGATCACCTATCTTCTTTCTGAAGTTCGTTAGACTCTTAGTAGGTTTCTGTACAGGGAAAGTGCCTTTCCTAGAAATGTGCTCTTCCTCTGTTTTTAAGATTTTCAGGATTATTTCAATGGCATCCTTTGAAAAATCAAAGTGCTGATCGTCTATTGCAATGACATAAAGAAAGGCAGCAGTGCACAAAGCCAAGCTGGGATCCTGATCTGCATCAGAGAGTTCTTTGAAGATGGTTTTCAGGAAATTGTTCTTTCTGATACTATGACGGAAGTCTTTGGTAAAACAGTTTTTAGTCACATTGAATGTACTGAGAAGTCGCACAGCCATAGGTTCTGTCTTTTTCATTCCATCAAACAAATAATCAAACTCGTCGTAGAATGTTTGATTAACTCCAGCCTTGATGCAATTACCAGAGTCTTTGACATTGGCGATCATCGTTGTCTCTTCATCAGGTTTATCACCAGGCTTCTCGATTTCTATCTCAATAAAGTCGATCGGAACTAGGTTCTCTTCACCATCATCATCCTTAGGAATGTCAAACAGTCCGCAAAGTCGTCCATTTGATTTAGCAGGTTTTAAAGCTTTCATGTTCAGCTTTGCTTTCTTGGGACCAGGTTTGAATATTTTCTGTGTTTTTGCCTTGATCTGTAGTTCCTTCTCCTCAGTGGGGAAATCAAATGATGAGCCAACCATTTTTCTGTGCTTTGAGGGAGATTCTGCCTTTAATGGACGTTTTGAAGGGATGGATGGATTCAAAGTCATTCTATCAATCTCAGGAGGTTCTCCAAAGTCAAACACTCCTCGATTAGGCTTCTGAGTCCCGAACTTTCCCTTGTTCTTGTTGATTATCTTTCCCCTGGCAGCTCTGTTGCAAATCTCATCCAGGTGATTAATCTTGGGTAGCTTGTTCATATTATCCTTCAGGGGCAGTTTGCGTTTTCTAGAGTCTTGGGTGCAGTGGTTGTGGACAGAAGGATCAGATTTCTTATAACGATCTGACCAGAAAAGCGACGGAACGGGAGCACCTTCTGACTGATTAGTCTCTTTGATGTCATCAAAATCAAATTCACTGTTTGAGGACTTTATCTTTGAACGACAACCGTACAGTTTTTGTCGCTTAACGTCCATCTAACAGGTCACAAGAGGTTACGTAGTCATCTTTTATTTTCCTAAATGAGAGATCAGATTTATATTTAGTTATTATTAATCATAAATGAGTATGATGGCCTCATTAAAACATTAAGCCTGGGACAATTATAATGAAAGAGAATGTTCAGAGAAATAGAAGCACATCACAGGTGGGTTTTAATGAAAGTAAGGTTTTGGAAAGACTTTTAGTTTGATTAGGGAGCTAAGCTAGTTTTTGAGGATATCTTGAGGTTTTACATCATAAAGATTTAATTGAAATATTCAAACAAGAACGAATCACAATTTAATAATTTAATGATTTTGGTTACATTTGTACTACATGGTTATTAACATAACAAATATAATTCATAATGTTGAATAAAACAACAAGAATAAAACAACAAGAATACAAGTGGGGAAGTCTATCATAATATACTACCAACAGTAAGAAACAATTCAAAATTACAAACTTCTTATCAGCCATATTTTTGCAAGATCTGTCTTAAATAATGGTCACGATATTATTGTGATCTTGTAGCTTATACTGGATTAAAAACGCAACACTATAGTACAATTATATAGAAATAAATTCGTATGGCACATTTTGAATGGCAGATTATATTTTACTTGTAAATATCAATTTGCAGACTGGAAATTTTATTGAAAGTTAAGTAATCTAATCAAAACCTAAGCATCAGAACAGTATACATTTTTCTAATTTCAAACCCTTCATTAAAATTTTAAAACCTGACAGATAAAAATAAGATCTACCAACTTAATTTATATAAATCAGTCTAGTTTTCACATTGTAACAATCCAATGAATTTACTTTCTGCTAAAAACTTGCAAAACCTAGAAAAATTGGTCTTTTTTCACTCCTAAAAATTCGAAATTACTGAACATAATATGATCAAGTTATTTCATCTGCTTTCAGGTATGTAATCAGTTTTCTGAAAATCTCCAATATGTGATGAATCTACATTTTATTAATGCATGTACTAAAACTGTAAAAATCTATAAATTATTCTTACCACCAGGTGAAAGAAATACAACTATTTCCATCAATTACATAGGAATCTTTTAGTATTGAACAAATAGTATTTTTGATTTATACATTTAAAACTAATGAACATTAAATTAAAAAGTTTCAAGTGCTTGAATTACATCTGAGGGTACAACATCAGCTGAGGTGCTCACAACCAATTCACACCTTTTAGAAAGATGGGAACACACATTATTTTACAACATCCAGCCTCAATTATTCGTTATTTGTTCATTTCCTTAGAGCATAGGGGACAAAACCAACTCCCTTTTGGTTTAGCAGATAATCCAACACAAGCAAAATGAAACCATTCCACAGGACAATCCCCATTATCACACCCTATCATTTCACCATAGGAAACTTGATGGCACAAGCAGTAAGTAGGTTCATTTGGATCAACTGGCATGTCAAGACCTTCACCCTGCCCCACTGATGAGTGAAAATGGTAACGAGGTAGTGGGTTCTGGGGTTTGAGGTTGTGATCCTTTCTTCTTTTTCTTTTTGTCTGACGTTTTGTCCACAAACATTCGAGAGTCTGATTTTTTGTCTTGATTTCGCTGTTTTGCTTCCAGTCTCTGCAGATCAGTATCTAATCTTCTGATATGTTTGTCTACCATTTCATAAGTTTGCATTGCAAGTTGAACTTTGTCATCACTGAATGTGTTTGATTTATCGAACTTCTGACGAATGTCTGAAAGATATTTTGCTTTCTCTGAGTTTTCCAGCTCACCTGCCTTTTCAATATACTGACTGTATATTGTTTCTATTTCTTTCATAAGGTCCTGAACTCTTTTATCAAGATCATGCATCATATTAAAGTTTCGTTGCAATTCCCCAGGCACTGATTCAATGCTCTCTAAATAGCTAGCAAGGAAAGCACTAGCCATAATTCTACCTGAAAGTAAATCTAAGGAATAATTATTATTAATGAGACATAACAATTCATTCAAATCAATAGATAAAAGACAATAACATTACTGTAATCAACACAAAGAAAAATATTATCAACTTAATAAGATGATGCAGATAGGTGTTCCAGCAGAGAATAAGCATACACATGTTTAAAGATTGATTGATTGAGGAGCACTACCCGAAGGCATTACTCGGCACTAACGCCTTAAAATCTTTAATTACAATAAAATATAAATATATGCACACAAGATCTGATCACATCACCTTTTTTGATCACATCACCTTTTCTGATCACATCACCTTTTCTGATCACATCACCTTTTTTATGATAACACAACAAAACTTGTAGGCCTTTGATAGACCTTTACAATGAAAGACACGGATTCTAGAAGATTGTCTTACAAATTTTCAACATCATTAATAATGTTTAATGATCTTGTTAGTAGTGCAATCAGAGCTCGACCGGGATACCGGCCGGAATTTGGCAATTTTGTACCAGTATCGATACCGGCCGGGATTTTGGTTTTAGCCGGGATTTTTCCAAAATAAATTCAGTTTTTTCAACGTAAATTTGAGTCCAAAATTTGCAAATCTGTAAACTTTTTTCTAAAACATTTTGATGAAATCATTGAACGATGGAGACTGGAGTCAATCTAGATTTAAAATAATCATGGGTTTTAATGCCAGATCACAAATATGAGTTCTGTGTCAGTTTTGACTTACGTATATAAACATATTTCAGTTTGTCTTTGAAGGTTTTATTTAAAATTTTTTCATTCTAACGGAGTAACCGAGAAATATTGGAAAAATCCCGGTACCGGCCGGTATGACGCTGATCCCAGTACCGGCCAGGACAAAATTTCGATCCCGGTCGACCACTGAGTGCAATGATTTGATTTAATCAACAATTACGTACATAAATCCCTTGATTTTATTGAATCAAGTTGTCGAATCTGTCAGTATGGGCAGGCTTTTAACTGTCGACAAACATTTGAATTAAGCCATAACATCTTCACCAAATTCTCCTTATAATAAAAGGTGATTTTGGACAACTGTGCAATAGACATTTGCCTCGAGAATTCAGACAAAATCTTGACAGTCTTGTAGTTCCACAAACTCACCTTGGGCTGAATATTTTTACTCTTTTTCTGTAACAAAATCACTCTTGAATGCAACAATTTTATATTAATGTTTAACAACCACAGATCAACTGGGTAACAAATTCTACAGCAGTATTTATAACATGATTGAGAGAAGTAAGATCAAGAAAAAAATGTGTAAAACTGATTACAGAGGGGGGTAAAAATGTTCCAAAAGGTGATTACATAACATGTGAACGACCCCTAACACATTTGGAAGACTGCACTGGTTTGTGAATCCAGGTTGATCTGGTATTAGGAGAGAAATCCTAAATGTTTAGCTGAATCTACTAGAGTATCCAATGACATGCTTCCCAGTTCAAGGAACTGAACATGAATGAAACTTATTTATGGTGCTCATTGCTCATGCTGTGTCTATGAAGTCTGTTTCTCATCATTCAGTTTTAAGAAGATTGGTGTGGTATCTGGATTTGACTTGATAGTTTGCGTTGTACCTCTTGAGATCAAACCAGTGTGTGCTGCAGACGTGAACATTTTATTAACGATAATTAAGAATATATTAAGACAAATTTACAGATACAGACTGATGAGTTGGGATGATAGAGCTGCCACTAGAACTGGAATATTTATCTAAGTCGATAAAAATATAAAGAATACACTATCATTCTTTTCTATTGTGTATGCTATACTATTTTAGTAATAAGGGGCCATAATTGTTTCAATTATGTAACTGTATAGAATTATTATTATTACTAGTTTAGTTAAGCATGCATTCATCTCTAAAGTTAATCTGTTTATTAAACAATCTAGCCATGTAAATTGAGAAACCATCTTTAATCTGGTCTCACCTTGCAGAAGCTCTGATTCACAAATAATTATAATTCATTCAATTGAGATAAATAAAATAGCCCAATCGCTACGTGTATTGTACCGTTTGCGCAAAGAATACGATTTCTTGCACAATAATAAATGGATCGAACATCGATATATTCGAGACTTCTATGTTCAGCTTTTGACAAATAAGTCAAAGTAACTACAAGCATCGAGATGCGACAATAAAAACTATAATGCCAAAAAAGTTGGCTTACTATGGTTTAGATTTTAAAAGATTTGACACTTGTATGCCCAAATCATCGAACCTAGCCAGATCGTCGAAACTAACCCATTCACTGCGAGCGTACTTAATCTTTTCAGATCAGCCAGCTGGAACTTCAAAAAAATGTTCTTCATTTTTTCGTTCACTTGGTTTTGCATTAAGTTGATGTGTGTCGATCAAAATCATGCTTTTCATGAAAAAATGACAAGCAAGACAACTCGTTGTTTGATTTATAGTACATAGTACTCTAAGCCTTACTTAACTAATTAAACTGGGATGGACGCGGGCCCAATAGTTTCCCGGCCCAGTTATAACTACTACGAGTTGAGCTTGAGATGAATTTAATTGTTCTGTTTGATAGACTAACCGGGCGCGCATTATATTACTTTTGTACTTCGCTGTTCGCAGCACTTTGCTTTGGGCCATTATATTTCGAATAAAAGCTAAACACACTACTTCGAAGAAATTTAATGTTTAAACAATGCAAATATCATCTGTGCAAAATTTACTGGGCGGCACTCAGCCTGTCATTCCGTCTAATCTCTATTCGGAACATATTATTATTTGGAGGACTTCGCCGCTTCGACGCGCCGCGCAAACTAGCATTCTTAATTCGCATCTTCATGACAAGATTGTTGCTTTACTTCACAAAGCAATAATCTGAAAGGGTTGACATTAACAGGTGATACTCGTAAAATATCTGTTCCAGGACCGTCGAAGAGTCCAACTCGGCGCGCGTCCTGATAGGTTGTAAACCTACAAGGGTTGACATCGTCAATCAAGATTATGAACGATAAAATAAAATAGCTTGGGGACCCCAGGTAATCAAAAATAAAAGTCATTTTGAGACAAATTAAAATGGGCCCACCCCAGTTTATGGTTTTAGTTATTTATTTAGTTATTTATTTAGTTATTTATTTAGTTATTCATGATTAGGTTTAGGGTTAGGGTTAGGTTTAGGGTTATGCGATCAAAGTAACAATTGTTGTTTGAAGTGGGATAGATCTCGCCTCCCATTGCAAGCTTGGAGGACTTCGCCGCTTCGACGCGCCGCGCAAACTAGCATTCTTGATTCGTCTATCTTTGCTCTGCTTCGCAGAGCAACGATCTCGATGGGTTGACACCGTCAATCAAGTTGTAAGCCCGCCGCGCATGACAAGTGCACGGCTGTATCGTGGCTTTCGTCGCGTCCCGATTTCATTAAGTTGTAAGTTCACCTAGCCATGAGTCTACGCGTACTGAGTGACACGCTTGTTTCACAAGCGCGGTCAGTCGCGCGCTACTGCAAGCGAGAGGGCTCTGGATAGAGCAAAGTTGTAAGCGTGCTAAATCACTTTACAGTTGATTTTTGATGGACGATGTCAATCCGTCGAGATCGTTCGCGTTGCTCTGCGAAGCAAAGCAACGATCGACAACGGATTCACCTAACCATGTGCTTTCGCGCCACTTCGGGCACGCTTGTTTCACCGCCGTGAGGCGGGCGCGCGCTACTGCAAGCGCAAGGGCTCTGGATAGAGCAAGACAACGGATGCAAGCAAGAATGCGAAGCAAGAATGCTAGTTTGCGCGGCGCGTCGAAGCGTCGAAGTCCTCCAAAGTTGATTTTAGAGATTGTTCTTAAAGGGCTCCCGACAATTGAAACCAACTTTAATCGATGTATCTTCGGCGCGGACGCTGATTCCGAATCACCTCCGATCCCATGACCCATGACATATGGTTAAAATGCTCCCCTGACGTTACCTGGGGACCCCAGGCTATTATGTTCATTAAAATAGAGATTAGGCGGAATGACAGGCTGAGCGCGGCCCAGTAACCCTGACGGGATATTGGCGAAAAACTGTTTCGATCACGTAATATGATCATATCACGCGATCCGATCGAGATGATCGATACGACCGTATAAAGAAGTTAGTTTAACTTTTTGTAAGGGTTAGGGTTTCAGTATATGCTTTTGTTAAGGATTGGGTTAGGGTGATACTCGTAAAATATTTGTTCCATATATTGGACCGTCGACGAGTCCAATTCGGCGCGCGTCCTGGTAGGTTGTAAACCTACAAGTTAGGGTTAGGATTGGGATCAAATAATTGGACTTGGAGGGTTACTGTTAGGGTTCCGAATAGTCGTTCAGGACCAGCTTTGCTCTATCCAGAGCCCTTGCGCTTGCAGTAGCGCGCGCCCGCCTCACGGCATGAAACAAGCGCGCCCGCAGCGGCGCGAAAGCACATGGTTAGGTGAAGACCAGCTAGAGAACGGGTTGAAAAAGTCACGTGACAGTCGAGTGTAGAGTGATTAATCATCATCCCGGAGCGGCCCACTTTACAGCACTAATGGTGCGATGCCCGGCGGCCAATGCCGCGATGTACTACTGGGTCGTGCGAGGCAGTATCGAATATAACGATGCGATTTGATTCACGATGTCAATCCTTCGCAGCTCGGTGAGGCACAGTGGTGCATATCGCCGATCTACCGAAGGTGGTTGCGAGAAGCATTATTGGATGCGCGCGCGCGACCCAGTAATGCATCGCGCTACAACGATGCGATATACTTCATTACTTCAGCTAACTGGACACTAGCAGTTAAACTATAACTTGTATCATATCCCAAACTATGTTAGGTATCGGCCCATGAAAGCAACCCAAAGAGATTTCGGCAATTCGGTAGTGTGGCATAACACGGTTAACGCACGGTTAAGGCACGGTTAAAGCACAGTTAAGGCACGGTTAAGGCACGGTTAAGGCACAAGGGTTACATAAGGCACGGTTCTTAAGGCACGGTTAACGCACGGTTAAGGCACGGTTAAGGCACGGTTAAGGCACAAACTGCCCAAAAGCAACCTTTATGGTCGCTTAAGGCACGGTTAACACACGGTTAACGCACGGTTGGGGAAATATAACATATAATTATAAACATACAAGTGGTTAACTAAGGCACGGTTAAGGCACGGCTAGGGAACAAGGGTTACATAAGGCACTTGGTTGCGTTAACCGTGCCTTAAGAACCGTGCCTTATGTAACCCTTGTGCCTTAACCGTGCGTTAACCGTGTTATGCCACACTACCGAATTGCCGAGATGGCAACAGCTAGTAGTAATAGTATAGTGCATAGTGATAGTGTGATTGACGTAATGTGTCAAGACCGTACCCAGAAATTATATACTTGTGCAAATAAAAATCATGTCATGATCCGACTGGGATTTTTAAATGATTTCGATTGAACATGTTTATACGCTTTATGATTTAGAATTGTAATTATGCGTTACACGTGATAGTTGATATTTCGATTTGTTGACCGTCCATTTTAATTATACATCTGATCGAATTCAATGGTGATTAGAAATAGAATTGGACCTATCCGTGTAGGTGCATTATAAACGTTTATTTCTTGTATAAAAAGGGCCCGAGGGGATTATATGGAGTAACACAGATCGATATATTTTTGGACGCTGATTCATGATTTCGAATCATCCCCTACTAAACCCATGAGTGGAGGGGTTAACGGGTGATACTCGTAAAATATCTGTTCCATATATCGACGAGTCCAACTCGGCGCGCGTCCTGGTAGGTTGTAAACCTACAAGTGGAGGGGGTGCATGCGAAGCCTTACAAGAGAATCAAAAATTCAGTTTGGTCCAGTTCAATCGTTATCTGGTTTGAGTGTTTTAACTGTCCAAATTTTACTTAAAATGTAAAATCGGTGCCAAAAATTTTAGGATTACAACATCAAACATTGAAGTTGAACATTAGAACATATTTAAGATATTTGGTTGCCAGCCCTACGTATTGAACATACGTAGGGCTGGCTAATTATATTAGTCCGATAAATAATATTTGATAATGCTTCGGAGATTAACAATAACCGACCGCACACCTTGAGTTAATTGAATAAATGTGGCACACAGATCCGCCTTTAGAAGCTAAGTTGGCCTGTGTTTTTAAGTGGAATTGGAACTTTAACCACAACAAAATCTAATATCATTATTTGACCGTCACGGGCCCGGGCAACCAACTTGCAATTTTTTGTGATTTCATTACGTGCGATCCCCAGTTTTCCATCAGTATAATCTTATTCTTACTGATGCACTAATTAAGTTTTTAGATTAACTTAAAACTCTGGACCAGGACAAAGAACATGTTAATTAGATTTGTGGTTCATTCAGTGGAAACCCTGAGCTGGCATCAATCCGTGGGATCATCCAGTTAATTGGGGGTCGCTCTTATCTCCTGATCAGGCATTCTTCGAGTTCGACTCTAAGTGTCCTTCTTTTCGAATATTGAGAAGTATTAACTTAAAACTGTTAACATTAGTCAGCTTGGGCCTTTTTCTTTGCTAACAGTAACCATTTTGGATCAGTACAGTTATATAAGTGTGTGGTTCCAGTATAAATATAATTTAGCCAAATATGGAGATTTACAGGTTATACTTATAGTAAACTATGCTATTCACAATTGATATCAACAGTCTTTCTTTGCTATTAAATGGCTGCAGATTTAGTGTGTGGTGTATGTTTCCCCTTTGTTCGGTGCCAAATATTTGGTGTCCTACACTTTAATTTTACTTCGGTTCTTTTAACACTAACAGTTACCAGCAAATTACAAGTAGCCGCAGGCTACCTGTAATTTTGCTGGTACAGGTTCCCGACCGCATTTATGGCTCTTACATCTAAGCTAATCCCAGGAACTCTCATGTCTAAACTTTTGATTACTAGTTCTTTCTTAAAACATTTTATTTCAAAGCAACCAGTTCGTTTCACAATTTCACACGTAAGAAAGATCGTCTCCTTTTGCATTTGGAGCTGGTCAGATGTTGGGTCTAAACTAGGGCTGACCAGGAGTTCAAGCTGATCTTTCTTTAATATTAATCAACTTTATTTATCATCCATAAACCATTGGTTTAATCATTAATCCTCATTACACTGTAACTCCTTTTTAGAAATATAATGGAAGGCAGGCCGGTTTTACTTCTTCTGCTAGCCACAGCCGCCCTTGTGTCTGGTAAAATGGACTTGAAAAAACCGGAAGACCGTCTTTCCAACATAGTGGAATGGTCAGATTTGGACTCTGACGATAGTTACATTTACAAACTATCCGACGATGATAAGGAAGAGTACGAATATACCATACCTTACGACTGGACTATGGACGAGTTCACTGGGATTGACACTGAGAACTCAAGGTGTGGAGATGAAGTTGAGATGCTGGACGTGTCCAAGATGAAGAAACCTCACCAGATCAGGCTATCGTTCACCGGAAACCCAACTGAGATGGCTATAACATGGACTACAAACGGACGAACTGAACATGAGCTGGTAAACTACGGACCAGTAAAATCTGACCTAAACTACACGTCCACCTCCATCTCCCATCAGTACAAATGGCACTGGGACGCGGAGCTGAGTCAATGGTACTACACCAGCGGCTTTATACACGAGGCTCTCATGATTAACCTTATCCCTGGTATGATCCACTACTATCAGATTGAGAGTAATGGGGAGAAGTCAGCCGTGATAAAGTTTGTGGCTGCCCAAGAATCAGGTTCTAGGGCACCTCTCTCCTTCATGCATGTAGGAGACGTTGGAACATTTGGGACCTCAGTGATGGTGACAAATGACATGATGAAGAGGATGGAAGAACAACAGTTTCATGGCTTAATCCACTGTGGGGATATCAGCTATGCTAACGGATTCAACCACAGCCGTCCAACGAACGCAGAGCAGAAAGTGTGGGACACCTGGGGTCAGATGGTGGAGCCGGTTGGAAGCAAGATGGCTTACATGGCAGTTCCAGGCAACCACGAGCTGGATATTTACGATTCGACCAACGAGAACGGCACAATCTACACCAAGCGCTTCATTATGCCGGGAAATGAACGTTATTTCTCATACGGAGTGGGTATGGTGCAGTTCGTTGCAGTTTCTACTGACGAGTCTATTGATGCCAACTCCACTCAGGGGCAGTGGTTCAAGAACGTTCTGAAGAAAGCAAATCAAAACAGAGATAGCCGACCATGGTTAGTTGTCTTCCAGCACAGGCCTATTTACAACTCAAACAATAAGCACAAGCACTGGAAAGGTCGGCAGTTCAACACCAGTTCCCGGTACGTAAACCCGGAGATAATAGGGTGGACAGACAACTACCCCACCCTGCTGGTGGAGCAGAACGTGGACCTGGTCCTCATGGGACATGTTCACCACTATGAGAGGACCTGGCCAATGAAGAACCTTACAACCTACGATACAAGGTTCGTGGGCAATCGCACAGCTGAGAATTTGATTAGTGCACCGGTTTAGAATTAGTGGTTGAGATCTCTGATAATTTGAATCGTTAATGCTTTCAAAATAATAAAGGCAGTAATAATTTAATTACTAGTTAATTACAGTCTAATTACTAATTAATTACAGCTACAAGAACGTGAGGTACCCAGTGCACATAACCTGTGGCCACGGAGGAAAGTCTCTGTACAGGTTCTACGACTACTACAGGAACGGGACCTACTTCGACTCTTACTACAAATCAGACCCGGGATGGGTTGCTCAACGGGACAATTCTCACTGGGGTCATTGTGAGCTGGATTTTATTGATGATACGACTGTGGAGCATAGGATGTACAAGATGAACGAGGCTGATCCTACGGTCAAGGTGCTTTTAACAAGGTCTAAAGAGAGATGGTCTTCAGGGACAGCACTCGCCTTCTCATCTGCTCTTATTTTCTTATCTGTAGGTACCTTACTTTGGTGAAATTAGGGGTTTTGCTGTAGTTATGCAGACCAGCAGACAGTGTTATTTCTATTAATTTTTACGATGCACGTTCAAATATGAAGTTCTGATAGTCGAATAAACCGGACTTTATAATTCAACGAAGAGATGTATTTTGAGGACACTGTTGACCCTTCATGACTACTGGATAGTGCGATTATCATATCTTGATTTTGTGACCCAATCGATGATAACGCAATTTAATATTTCTATGGTTTATACGGTTTTGTTTACAAAAAATCGAACTTGTTTGATTTGATGATTGATCTAATTAACAAGAGTGTATCAGCTAAACCCGTAACATTTCACAGAAATTGTCGAACAGTACTGCAGCTAGAGAACACAACAATTCCTTTTTTGAAATGTTTACAGCAATTTTTATCACAGTAATTCTGAATCAAAATCATGCCAACATCGGAAAAAATCAATAAAATACATTAATTTACACCGTTAAACGGTGTTTTATTAATTAATTAATTAGTTAATTAATAGCAGTCAGCTCTTTAGCAACATAACGCCTACAGTAGCTGGAATGATTTTAAAACTTTAGGTTATCCTACCAACTATTATAATATCAAAATGATAATTATTCAAATATTATCATTTCCGGATCCTCACATATTGAATTTGATCGCATATAGAAAATACCAATGATTAAAAAACAAAATACGTGCAACACTAAAAACAATGTAGTGACAATGTAAGACTAAATATAGTGCTCTCATCTTAAGTTGGCCCCTCAGACGAAGAAGAAAATAATGAATTTAAATACAATTAAAAACTTTAAAAAGTGAGATGGTGATAATTTTAGTGATCCCAGGGGCTAACTTCAACTAAAAACACTATAAAATCATGGTGATACTTATAATTTAAAAATTCAAAAAATCATGCGATAAAAATTTCACCTCAGTCTCAATTTATTTGAAATTATAATCGAAATGTGGGGTTTAAAAATAAAACTAACACTATGTTCTTATTTAGCAGGAGCAGCAAAAATCATAATACAATAATCAATTTTAAAATAAAGTTCCAATACTATACAAGCCAGGAAGTATGATCACTTGATAAAAAGATGGTATCACGTGACATAAAAAGGGGCTATGAGGGTGAATGTAAAGTTCTGCTATTACTGTTCTGATCAGCAGTTGTTGTTCCCTCCAGCAACCCCTGAATCTCAGATTGAGTCCTACCATTACCCCACCCCATCTTCAACTCAACCACCCCATACATCCTCCGTGACCACTCTAAAACCGGATCATAGTACTCTATCAAACACAAAATATTCAGCACGACGAAGCTGATTACGATAAGAACTGTTCCCACGAAGAAGGAAACGGAGAAAGTCTGTTTGTTAACCATAATGTCTACGATAATGGAGGTAGGAGATGTGAGTCCGAGTCCGATGGTAGCAATAAGAGAGGATGTAAGGAGCGTGGACCACAGCCACAGCAGATCTGAGATTACAGTCCCCAGAATGGCTGTAAGGATCAGGAATTTCCACTCTTTTTGGGCAGGCCAGGCGAAGGTTTCAATTCCGGAGAAGTGTAGGATTGGGAAGAGAGGTAGGAGCAAGACAGCGGAGATTATACCAACTGTACCAAAAAACAGAACGATATCAACCCGATCGTCTGATCCGTCAGCTGAGCCGGCTACTCGACGGAAATAAACAATATAAATGGCGTAGAGAAGAGAGGAAGCAATGGCGAACATGATCCCAAACATTCCAGACGCTGAATCAGTGGTTCCTGCATCATCGGGAGTTTCATTTTTCTTAGACAGACACAGAATGACGACCCCGCTCATATTCAAACCTACCAGCAGAAACTTAGTGAGAGAGATCTTATCCTGGCTGCCAACCGGGAACGCGGCGCTCATGAGCAGAACGAAAACAGAGGAGGTGACAGAGAGTACTTCCACGTAGGACAGAGCCGTTTTCTCTAGAGCCAGTGCGTTCAGATAGTTCCCAATAAACCACAGTATAGAGTAAACAAACGCAACTCTTATGTGTTCTTTGAAAGATAGCTTCACGACCTCACTCCTAGAGTTGAATGGCCGGCGAGCCTCACGTTGGAGGGTTACATCATGTGAGGCTAGACAGCGAACCTCTGCTAGAGACCGGAACTTTATCCGTTTAGAGGTGGAACACTCCAACATAGGGGTGTCAGATGTTGGGGAGGGTAGTGTCACGTGGTGTGCTCCGATAGAGGCTTCTTGTAGGTGGAGGTCCAGACCTAGGGGGTTGGTCAGGGAGGAGGAGGAGGTTTTCTTTAGGGCACTTTTCTTTGGTCGGGGAGTGGTGGGCCGCTGTGTCGGTGGTTCACTGAGGTATTCTGTGTTACTTTTTAGTAATATCCCAGATTTTCAAATTGTTATGATTTGAAGAGAGCTAGAAACTGTACGACATGTTTCTTCTGAGATATGAAAGTACAATTTAACATGGTAATAAATGAAGTAAAATAATGAATCTGACTAACTTGATCTCGGTCTCAGTGGAGATAAGAACCTCGTCGTCACTCTCACTCGCCATTTCACTACCACTATCAGATCGGTCGAACTCAAGCCTGAATATCACTGTGTAACACTGTGTAACACTGTGTAACGCTGTAACACTGTGTAACGTCTGTAACACTGTGTAACGCTGTGTAACACTGTGTAACACTGTGTAACACTGTGTAACGCTGTAACACTGTGTAACACTGTAATGCTGTAACACTGTGTAACACTGTAACGCTGTGTAATACTGTAGCACTGTGTAACACTGTAACACTGTGTAACACTGCGTAACGCTGTAACACTGTGTAACGCTGTAACACTGTGTAACACTGTAATGCAGTAACACTGTGTAACACTGTGTAACACTTTGTAACGCTGTGTAATACTGTGTAATAATGTGTAACGCTGTAACACTGTGTAACGCTGTGTGACACTGTAATGCTGTAACACTATAACACTGTGTAACACTATAACACTGTGTAACACTGTAATGCTGTGTAACACTGTGTAACACTGTGTAACGCTGTGTAACACTGTGTGTTTGTAACACAGTGTAACGTCTGATGTATTTTACTACTTATGTTATTAATGTTGATGTATTTTAGCGGTGCTTGTTGGAAAATGAAAGATACTCCTCTAAAAAAGAAGTTGATTTAAGCGATATGATCATAGAATTTATATATAAATTTATATACAAATTCAATATATATATTGATTAAATCGGTTGAAATGTTCGCCTTAGGCCAAAGGAAGTCAGTTATTTAAAGATAATCTAAAAGCGAATAATAATAATAGAAGTGTTAGATAAAAGTGTTAAACTACCTCTCATAGCTGGAAGGACCGAGAAGTTCCTGAGGGTTCCTCACCGGTACAATACAATAACTAAACAACTTGGGAACATACTTCAAAAGTTTCAACAAGTACACGATGAACATGGAGGACTTGAAGTACACCAGGAAGAAGGGTTTATCGTACTTCTCCTTGAAGATTATTTCAGTTAGCTCGTCCCCTCCCACCCAACATATCACTACCAACAGTATTATACCTGTAATTAAATCATTTGTTACGGATCCTTCACGTGTTACGTATTTGTCAAGTATTGGCTATTTTAGACCCTTCCTCTTGCTCAAAGTTCACGATTAGGCATAACTTACACTGTGCACACCCCCCTCATCCTCTAGGCTGGCTAACTTAATAATATGTGAAAAATCTCTGGCGATATTATGTACGGGACGATATTATGTATACATTTCATTCATCTGGTGGGCCAGCATGGTCTCATTAAGCTAACTGAATCAAGGTAGGAAGGTAGTACGTTTTCGTGAAAAGTCGGGGTGAGATGTGCCGCTCTCGGCAGTCGCCACAATTATATGCATGCATAGTTGCAACCTTACATTCCTTGGACCTGGATTCTTCGGCTTATTAAACATAGCATGAAACACGGCTGGAATCCCACCCCCATTAATACATACCTACATGATATTAACACTTTATTTTTATTTTTTGAGAGTAAAATTTGTTTCTTCAATTATTGTTCTCCAATATTTTGATACACAAATGGCCATGTAAATTTAACCTGGAGTAAATTTTAGTAAATTGGTCCACCCAATTTTTCTCGGGTTTCCAAACTAAAACTAGGAAATCTCACGGTCAATATGATACATTACTTGTTATCCTGGTGAAACTTCAGGTCTAAATTGAGCAACAAGAGCGACATTTGATACACCCAAGGTGGGTATATATTTCTTTTGAAATACATTCCATTTCTGCGGAATGAACAAGCTGTAACCTTATCAGGTTATCAGGCTTAACATTGAAAAATGTTTGATGTAGCCAGAGAATCACCTTTGTAAAAAAAAGTTCATCAAAGTCAGGAAAATTAATTCAAAGTTCTGAAACTAACCCAGACCAAGGACGTATCTTCTTCTGGGACCCTCAGTAATCGGTAACCTCTGTGTCAATGCCATTACCAGTCCTTATATGGTAATATTGTTCCCAGTCCTTATATGGTAATATTTTTCCCAGTCCTTCCTACTCGGAGTACAAGCATTAATGTTCTAGTGTTAACCAATGCTGAATAAAAACATAAATTTTAAACACATTATTCAGATAGGAAAGAGAAATACCAAGACAGATATAAAGGAACAATTAGTTTTCTACATTTTCTAAAATTATAGGATATGGATAATAGCATTTCTAAGAATTACCAAGATCAGTGATCACATAAAATTATCTTACTTCTTAAAGAGAGAGAGATACAAACACTATATCGATTTAATTAATTAAACAATTTTGTCAGCAGTAGTACAAGTCTAAACAGTAAAAGTGATAGTAAAGATTAATTTATAGGGAAGGTTGTGTGTGGTCCAGCAATTGTGAGCGCTACTCAGATGGTAAAAAGAGAAAGCAACTTCTTAGAAATCAAATCGTATTTCAAAGAAAATTGCGAGCATTACAGAGCTGCACTGTTAAATATTATTGTTGAAATGGCTAAAGTGCTTTTCAGGGGACACGCAACACAAAGTAATGTTCGAGCAGATTGGATCAAAGAAATGCTGCCATCCTTATTTTGCATTGAGGGGGGTGATTGTTTGATAAAATAATATCAGTGTGTAAGCAATGAAGCAACACTCATATTCATAACTTCTAAATAAACAAATTCATTACTTCTAAATAAACAAATAAAACAATTCAAACTAATAATACTTTCAATTCTGTTGATTAAGACAAACAAATAAACTGCTCACATCTTCCATCTTCAATTCTTCACGTTCAGAATACACAAAATCCCAGCAAAAGAACTAAAAACATGAAATGAGCAGCCGAGTAAAACGGTGCCAGCAACTACATAAGTAGGCGTATAAAAGTAGGAAGTACAATTGAAGGCGGGCCTAGCTGAGGTAACGTGAAGGTATGAAACTGAATATCTTCAATATCTTGACTGTTATCTTGGATGGAGTACGGGTATATGTAACGTGATTAAGTATCTTGGCCCCTTTATTATTGGTATAGGTCTGAACTCTGATTTTGTGGCAGGTTGATGTTGGCAAGTTTTTTGTCGGGAAGTCTCGTCTGGGAATTTGACACCGTTTAGAAAGCCAGGATATTATTACATTGGTTTAACATTTTCTCGATCTTTCTAGGAGCAGTATTGCAAAAACTGGAGAGTTAAAAACTAAAAATAGTGTTTGTGATTTAAATAATTTTAAACTTTTCCCTAAGTAACAAATGGTCTTTGATAAATGTGAGATAAAATTTGATATTGAATATTTGTTAAAAATAGATTCCCAAAACTTTCAGCTAAAGATAAAGCTATATTTCCGGTTGGCATCTCATACATGTTATATCACATCGTGAGAAAAAGCTCGCTCAAATATCGGGTCTCGAGTTACGAGGAAAAGTAATTGCAGCTTTCAAGACTGGCATGAATGGTATAACATAAAATCATAAACATAAAATACAAATTTAATAAGTTACATAATATAAAAATACCTTTTATTTAAAAAATAAAATTTGACAGTGCAGTATTAGTGACCAAACATACGAATTCTGAGTAAACCGAACAAACCGACAAACCAATACATATTTGAATGAAATTCGTCGCGTAAGTTGTTGAAAACAATTATTAAATTCATGAAAAACCTTCAGTCTAAAAGTCTATTTTAACGTTGCAGTTTAGTTTCTAACTTTGTGACCTTATGCGTTATCTTCTGAACAAGTGAACTGGTATCGTTCATCATTTTAATGACATTTCGTAACATTGACTTGAGATCGTTTATTTCTTCTCTAGTCGATACGCGGTCTAACTCGCTTGAGTTTCCCAAATCTTCTGGAGAATGAGGTGGGAAGTCATGAGGTGAGAAGTTATGAACTGTCTGTTCCGAAGATTGGGATGGATCATCAACAAGGACACCCCCAGAAGGCTGTGAAGGAGAAGGTTTGGTGGTCATACAATTATCCCCTGGTCGAGATGCATCACGTTGAGAACTGTGACAACTTTTATGTGACATTTGTGACGAGTAATGTGACATTTGTGACGAGTTATGTGACATTTGTGACGAGTTATGTGACATTTGTGACGAGTTAGATGGTTTACTGATTTTTACAGTAGGCTGGGAAGGTTTGTTGGCCCACACCACACGTGACCGGCTACTGACAGAACATGTTTCTGATTGGACGAGGTTCGAAGTACTGTCTTTTGATTGGACGAGGTTTGGAGTACTGTCTTCTGATTGGACGAGGTTGGAAGCACCCTCTGTGTCTGATGAGTCGGTTGAGCTGGACAATGCCATGACGTTATCACAATTGGGACGCATTATCAGTCCTGAGTGTTTCATTGGTTCTGGTTTGGATTGAGATGAGTTGGAGGGAGTAGGCTGATTCTCTGTCTTCTCCATTGACAACTCACCGACAATTGAAGACGTAGACTGTTCAGTTTCAATCAACTCAGTTGAGACGGCTGAGGAGCTTGCTTCCGAATCTATCTTTACTTTTGATGTTTGAACTGACTTGGTGGAATCACCATCTGATTTGAATTGATTTGTGCTGGGTAATGCAGCTTGCGGGGCAGTGTCCCGGCTGCGATCAAGGGACATAACAGTGAGATTAGGGTATGAAGTTGTCCGGGACTGGACAGTCACAGGGACCAGTAATGGAGCTGAAGGTACACTGAACACTGTAACAGGGATATTCACGAAGTTTATCATGTTAGTGTGAAGTATGGCGGTGACTGGAACAAGTGGGGTTACTAGAGGAGGCTGTGTGAGTGGTATCAGACGTGTTGAGCATACTTCCACACTAGTTCCAGGAATAGTGGAGGGTTGGGAGGTAAAGGGAGGAGGGTTCACCATGGGTGAGGAGAAAGGACTGTCTGTAGGCTCAGAAGTTGATGTTTTACTGCGAAGTTTTTTAGTTTCGTTATTAAGGACGGTTGCTTTTTTATCAGGGATACTTCCAGAAGGGTCTGACATGACACTGGCGCTCTCCAATAACCCCTTTTTGAACGACCTTGCTGTGTCCTGGTTAATCTTGCAGGATACGTTTCCTGTGTCCAACTTTTTCAAATATCCTACTTTATCGAGTATCTGACTTTTGGAAGCTGGACCTTCTTCAATCTTAGATCGTTTCTCAGGGTTTTCAGGAGGAGAACATCCTTTATGTACCACCTCAGGAATTATTTTCGCTTGTTCTTCAGATACCAACTCAGGAATAATTTCCGCTTGTTCGTTTTCTTTCCACGAGCATCTCGTATCTATTAATATCTTAGCACGCCTCTTACTCTTTGTCTTCGTTTGACCGTTCTTTGAAGGGTTCGAATAAGCGGTTCCAAGGTTCGAATAAGCGGTTCCAAGGACAGAACGCCGCCAATTTGCATGTTCCAAACTAGGAGCAGGATCCAGCGGGAATACAGGAACTAGTGGTGCTGATTGTTGTGGGTGTTTACAGTCCATCACCTCCTCTTTTACCTGAACCGTGTCTTCGTTTACCTTCATCCGGTCCATGTAGAATCTATGTCTGATCTCCTCTAAAGATTCTCGTTCTCCTTCAAACTGAGTCAGAGGAAGAGCCCCAGAAAGACAGCCGGTTTCACCCATATGTCCAATCTCTGATGTTTCGCTGACACTTTGAGCTTCAGTCTGCAGGACATTGGACACACTAGGAGTGGTTTCCGCTTTAAATTGAGTATCGTTCAATTTAGTCTTATTTACTGGGACCTTGGAAAGAGAGAACACAGAAGTGTCTAGAGGTCGTGTCCGGGAAAGGTTTGATCTGGAGAGTTTACCAGGAGATATGGAGGGATCATATTTAGAGAGTTTACCAGGAGATATGGAGGGATCATATTTAGAGAGTTTACTTGGAGATATGGAGGGATCATATTTAGAGAGTTTACTTGGAGATATGGAGGGATCATATTTAGAGAGTTTACTTGGAGATATGGAGGGATCATGTTGATGTAAATACTCTGCAGTAGGCTCTAAAAATGATTCCAATGTCGTAAGATATCTGTCATAAGCACCCAATATCTCTGACTGGTACTCTAATGTTTCTAGCCGTTTCTTTTGGGCGTCCGATAATCCAGACTGAGATTTCACTTTTGAGTCATTTTTCTTCCGAGCTTCCGATGGATCAGCGTCCTTGGAGTCAAGTTTTGCTTTATATTTCTTTTCAGCTTCCGAAAGTACAGACTGGTATTTCCACTTTGCTAGACACTTCTTTTGTGGGTCCGATAGTGTTAACTCCCCGTTTTCCCATTTTTCCATACATTCCCTTTTGGCGTCCGATACCTCAGACTCCCGGATTTCCCACTCTGTTCGGAATTTCTTTTGGGAGTCCGATAATTCGGAGTTTTCAGAGTACCACTCTGCTAGACAAGTCTTTTGAGCATCTACTAGCTCTAATTGTGATTCAAGCGTAGCGAGATATACCTTTTGACCGTCCGAAAAAAGAGACTCGAGTCCAACTTGAGCTTCATCTTCAGAAGCTGGCGAAACTTCGTTAGGATCATTTTTCGAAACTGGTTTTCGTTTTTTAGAAGACCGAGAATCAGGTTTTTGTTTTTTAGAAATCTTGGGGACAGATTTTTCTTTTTTAAGTTTTTGTGGACTCCCTACCGAAATTCCTCCGTTAAGATCTTGACTCTGAGAACTTTCGTCAAAATCGTTTTTTTGAGCAGAAAGAACATTGTGAAGTTTTATGTGTTTTCCAACCTTGGTTTTGTCTTTTGATTTGTAAGAACACCGGGAACAACGGTATGTCGTGACTTTTGGCATGGTGAAGAAGCTTCAGATAGGGTGGTCAGACACCAGAATACGCTGCTAATGCGTCCTGTGGAGACAGTTGTGTAAAACAAACATTGATTATGTTTATATGTTGTTTTATTATGTTTAAATGGGCCCAGATACTTGCTGATAAACTCCGATCCTGTTATCTAAATTAAAAGCAATCGCAAAAAAGAACTTACAGGATTGCTGGAATTTAAGTCGAGTCTGCCACTGGGACTTGGGAGGCTAACACACCTTCCGATATCATGCTATTTCTGATGAAATTTGCGATTATAAACAGATAATATGGCAATAAATAATCAGTCTGAATCCTTGTAACAGATTAAATATAGACTGGACAGAATGGGAATTGTAAATTTTTATTAACTTCATAATCAATAAATTCTCAAAAGGCATAATGATACAATCAAGATTAGAGACATTAAGTGAAAATAATATCAATACAACATGAAAAAACGAAAACCACTTAGTACTAAAACATACCATAATATACCACAGAAATGTTCCTAGCTTCACCACCAAACTAACTAAAACTCAGCACTTAAGCAAATCCTTTAGCTTTAAAGAAAGCATCAGAGTTAGGATCTCTTCCCAGCATATTCTTTAACATATCAAAAGCATCAACAGATCCCCCGGGCTGTAAAATACAGGTCCTGTACTTCATACCTCCTTCAGGTGAGAGAACGCCAGTTTCTTTAAATACCGTCTGGAACATGTCCTCGCTGTACACCTCGCTCCACATGTACCCGTAGTACTGTGCGTCGTATCCGCCTGGGTAACAACACCAGAATAAGTATTTCCCGGACAAAATGTGCAGTTTACTGCGACAAGGAAAAGGCTCTTATCAGGATAAGTAATTGTTCTACGTTTCAATTTAACAACATCGTATTCATTCGTATTCATTCCAGGGTAAGTGTTGGGTTCAGTGTCTGAACTTTTAGGGGGGCTAAACAAATGGTGTAATAGGGACTTTATTAGGAACGGAACCACAAGATAAACAGACTAAAAGTGGTTAATCGTGGCAAAAGCTGCTTTAATTGGTTGCTCAGTTAGTTTATCTGTGCCCGACTGAAAGGGGGAATTTCTAACCAAATGATAATGTCACATTACCGTTAAATCCCAATCCCCTTTTCTTACAACTTCTTAAACCTGTTTAACGAACGTAACCTTTTGATGCCCCTTAGGGGTCATTCACATATTACGTAATCATGGCCTGACCCCCCCCCCCCCCGTAATCAACCGTAAGCATTTGGAAACCCCCCCCCCCCCCCCCTCGACTGATTTCGTTATATGTGAACGACCCCTTAATACACAGCACTCCTATCGACATTTGATTATTGTCTTCAATATAAAAACATGCTATTTAAACAACTACCAACCTGCCATATGACCGAACTGAGCAGCGAAGTTGGTTCCCTCTGGAGCAGGGTTACCCATTACTAGTGAGTGGGCGTTACTGAAACACTGTGCTGTGTCCGCATTTTCTCGGGTGTGGATATCTTGGTCGAACAAACCGAACACTAGCTGTCTGCAGGGAATTGTGTTAGAAACAGATAATGCGAATATGTAATTATGATAAATATCGAGGGTAACGAGTAGGCTATTATATATGGTTATCACGGGGTTCTACAGTGATAAATCTATCAGTTAGTTTCCAGTGGCGTAACGAAGGGCCTCGCTGACCCCGCGTTAACATACAACGGTACACCACTGCTAGTTTCATCAGCTTATCAAATCCCAAAATCGTTGTGTCAAGTGTAGAGCAAACCTACGCCACCTCCTCCTAAGGCACCTCTTGTTTAGGGTATTTGGGGGAGTTTCATTGGAACCAATGGTCATTATTAGGGTCGATGGTCATAATTAGGCTGGGGCAAATTACTTTCAGTTATGCAGTGACCAATTAGCACCCACAAGTTTGGAAGCCCTCAATTCTCAAATAGACGAAAATTTATAAAAGGTGATAGTTAGTTCAACTACTACAAGTACCTGCAAGTAGTGGTGGCAACATTAGCAAGCTTGCTGCTTACAAGCTTCTCCAACAAATCACATGGAATGGCAGTTCCATCCTTGTAATGTCCGGACATCATCTTTAAACTGTCTTTCTCCCAACACCAATTCTCCAACATTTGGGAGGGTGCTTCCACAAAATCTCTCTCGACTCTGGTACCTGAGGTTTAGTCTAGTGTGATGGTGTGATTCTTATTCAGTGGGTATTTTGTCTATTTGGAGAATAGCCGTGTCGTGTTTTTCTTTATTGATATTTAATATCAATAGAAATCTTAAGCGTGTTGTTAAAAAGGTCATATAAATAAAGCTTTACGAAAAGGCAATTGACATTATGACTCATTTCAGTTTTCCTGTGATACATTTACCGGAGTTTTCCGCCGCTGAAAATCAAGATAGCCATGCAACGCGCGTGAAAATGTGCGTGACAAAGTGTTGACAAAGCAAAGAAACCTTCAGCGCGCGTTACAAATTTAACATGCGTGCGTGGTGGTGCAGAATTGGCAACCCAGCGCCATCTAAAGGAACGATTAATAAACTTAATAGACCACGCATGATCTGATCCATCATCCACCCCACCAAAATATACATTCAGGGCGGTTGCAAGCATTTTGTTAAAGATGTTTCTACCTGAAAAGTAGGTATGCTCGGTCTGAGAACAGATCTGATGCATTGCGTGCCCAAACTCATGGAAATAGGTCTCAACCTCGCTGTGGTACAGTAGTGATGGTTTGTCTGCAGTAGGCGCTGTAAAGTTACACACCAGCGCACACACGGCTGGCTGCCGTTCCCCGTCAGATTTAACACACCCGGGCTGTAAACCAAATACCGCTGCGTGACCGTACTTCCCGTCACGTGGGTGCAGGTCCATGTAGAATTGCCCTAAAAATGCGGAAGTTGTTTTGTCGAACACTGAGAAGAGTTGGACATCAGGATGCCAAACGGGCGCATTCTCGATCTTTTCAAAGCGGAGGTTGAAAATAAGTTGGTAGATCTCCAGCAAGCCCTTCGTGACAATATCCATTGGGAAATATTGTTTCAGAAGTTCAGTATCGACTGAATACTTCTCTTTTTCTGTGATCTGAAAAATTTGATTTCGTTTCAGAACGTAATAGAAATCTTTTTCAAAGCCGTTATTATAGCATCAAGGAAGATATAAATTAAAAGAATACCTCGCTAAAATTATCACTGACCTGCATATAGTGATAAATATCCCAAGGTTGCACACTTCCACAACATTCCTCTCCATTCTCCTTACACTCCCTCTCCTTAATCTCCAAGAATCCCTCAAATTCGGCACTCAACGGCTCCTTCATCTTACCGACCATATCCGTTAGAAACGTTTTGACTGTGTCTTTGGTTTTAGCCATGCGCGCATCGAGGATAAAGTCTGAGTGTGTGGGGTATCCGAGTAAACCTGCTTTCTCTGCTCGCAGTTTAACTAACTCCTGGAATGGCAAAACATTCTTTAATACCGATCTCATAAAATAGTGAAGTTCTTAATTTTGTTTAATCGAGATTATTCTAGTTTTTTCTAGATTTTCCTATATTTTATTCCACCTGTACTGTTAAGTGTAGTTTGTAAGAATTCTAAGGGAAAGGAAACGTTTGGGTCGGGGATAATCAAAACTCTAAAATGGGAGTGTTAAAATCTAGGAGGTGGTCCGCAGATTGCGTGATGACCGTAAAGGTGTGAAGGTGCCTACTTCTAAACGTCTCAATAGGTAGGATCTATACATACCTCTAAAATGGGAGTGTTAAGATCTTTGCACATAGAGTATCTAGTAATAAGAAGTTGTTTTCTGGTTGCCTCCACGCTACACTGTTTTAGTATGGGGTACAAACATGGGTACTGTAATGTAACCTTGTGTTCGCCTGCCTCGTTCCTTTCTAGCCCTGGTCAGGTGGTTAATAGCTAAACACTCGTGCAGCTATTACTTGGGGGGGGGGGGGGGGGTGTCCGGTATGGTCAATTTAATGTCCTGTGGCGTATCTCCCCCCTATTTATATTGACGGTAAGATCAATATCTCGGTAAATCTGAGGTAAGTTAAGTATAGATTGCGTCGTATTTAGGGGTGAACGCGAAGTTATGAACTCATAAGATCTACGATTTCTTTTCAAGTATTATTTAAACTTTAAAAAGATTCAATTTAACATATTCATACCAGTATTCACCTTTAACGAAGTCCTCAGAACAACCTTTTAGCTGCTCAGTTTTAAAGAACATCGCTGTTTTGTCTTCGTTCATGTTGTTTTGAAACTCAATACCTGACAAGCGTTTATAACTTTGGTAACCATGGTGATAAGAGACAACTATTTGAGGGTGTTGTCAAGTTCTCATAAGTATACAATATACAATATACAATATACATGGTATGTTGGTATGTTATATTTATACAGCTCTCTATAGTCTATAGTCTATAGTCTAAAGAATGTTACCAACCCCTCTGGCCTCTAGCTTTACAGTTATCATAAATAAGCTGTTAGCTGAAGGACAAAATCGAACCAACACAATTCTTAAATTCTTACCTAAACTACTCATTTTCGAGTTGATTTCTTTGATACGATCCTGTTTTGCCTTTTCTAGGTGTAAACCTACTCTTTTGCCATCACGAATAACTCGAGCCAGCAGTCTAACCTGAACAATACAATATACAATATACTTTACAGATATTCAGTTAAAATCACGTGTTGTAAGTCAAGATTCAGTAAGGAAAATATCTTTAAATAGTGTAAGTTTAGTGTAGATTTTGCGTGGCTTATATGGTTGATATTATTATTATGTTGATATACGCGGCGTATAATACGTACCTTTTACTAGCAAGTAAATGATGTTATATCTCCTGGGATTCGCAAAAAAAATGTGCAACATAATAATCACGATTTATTTTCTACTTTATAAGTAAACATACTGATTCTGGTGTAGGTGGAGTGTAAGTTTCACCGTAGCTGCACATCACATCAAACACATCCTTACGGGCGCTCATTGCGACACTGAAGTCTGATAACACTCTATCTGCTTCTACAGCTGCAGGTAATAACGGTGATAAGTTATACTGTGCAGGTATAACGGTAAGTTATAATGTGTATACTGTATAATCATGATAATAGTGAGTTATTGGCTTCTTTAACTTGGAGTTTTAGAACACTTTCCCAACCTTTTAAACAACTTTAATTGACTTTCGAAACTGATATAGCAATTCAATGTTCGATTTGGAGCATAGCTAATTAGTGATTATTTGCAAGTTCACAGTTATGATCAGTGATCCCGTGTGTAACGTGTGATCACGTGTACTGTGTCTTATCAAATGGTACATTGTACAATTCTATTTAACAGATAACTTACAAGCATCTCTAACTGCTTTATCAGCTGAAACCTGTGAAGGAAAGTCGTACAAACAGGACAAACTGTCGTAATATCTGTGTACTTCTGTCAGCTTGGACAGAGCCTCTGATACCTGCAAATATTGTGAGTAATAGACACAATTAGATTTAAGAATTAGATTAACTGTTTAACTTTAAAGAATATCCAATTAACATTCACATCATTTATTTACTGTATTGTATTGTCCGGCAGTTAAATCATAATCCTAGGAAATGTTGCTATATTATATATATATAAGTATCTCTTTCTCTTTCACTAAATTCACTTTCCTCACCTTCTCTCCCTGAAGAGCAGATATTTCATCGTACATTCCAGTTGTTTTGTTCATCAACTCCTTAACTCCGCCCTCAATATCACCTGCACTCAACGTCCATTTCGTCATCTGAGCCTCCATCGGGATTACCTGGAGTAATAACCACTGGTTATTACTGGTAATTACTGGTAATTACTGGTTATTAAACAGTTGAGAGATCTAAAAACTGACAAAATCAAGTAGTGAATATAATTTACATGTTATTAAACACATGAGAATAATGACAAAACTGAAGCAATGAGTTGAATCTGATTCTAGAAACATTGATAACCCCTGTGCTGATAACAAATAACAGCAAGACATCATCAGCAACTGATCTTACCAAGGATCTGGATAGAGTAAGAGTAAGGGTGGTAATACGAGGAAATACTGTAGAGGTTGTTGTTATTGTTGGAGTAACACTTGTTGTTAGTCGAGATGTTAATACTAACCGACTAACTGACCTTAACATACACTTACTGGGAAAATCAAATTCAGTGTTTGTTTTTTAAATCATTTAAAATCGTTAAATTATGGTTCTGGAAATATATTGTTCTTTCGAACGCTTTAAAACAACAGGCTCGGTAATCTCAGTAACTAAATTACTTGGTAGCGGAGTTTCGTTTCTAACAACTTGTATATTTTTACTTTTATTGATGCAAAAATCAAAGAAATTGTGATATGAAGTTTATTTGGGCTATTCAGCGCAAGATATAAATAGTAGACATAAGAAGAAAAAAGTGATTTTAGATATGAATAAATTAAATTTATATTTAAAATGATAAAAATAACAATTTTTAAAACATCTATTATAAAAGTTGAAGGAAACATGACGTATAGATTAGTTCCACTGCTCTAGAAATAAAGCGCCCATGTATGCAATCTCTTTTCAGCCAAAACATCCATTTCATCTTATCCTTTCAAACACAAAACACCCCTTAGGAGTAAGACAAATTTCAAAAACTTTCACTACTCAAATTTTCAGAAAGAAAATTCCGAGCCAATATTTCTGACGTACAAAACAGCAATCAATGAACCCATTTCTAACAATACCATATTTAAAGGTACTTTAAATAATAACATTACCAAATATGGTAATGTCCTCATGACTTTACCAAATATGGTAATGTCCTCATGACTTTACCAAATATGGTAATGTCCTCATGACTTTACCAAATATGGTAATGTCCTCATGACTTTACCAAACATGGTAATGTCCTCATGACTTTACCAAATATGGTAATGTCCTCATGACTTTACCAAATATGGTAATGTCCTCATGACTTTACCAAATATGGTAATGTCCTCATGACTTTACCAAATATGGTAATGTCCTCATGACTTTACCAAATATGGTAATGTCCTAATGACTATACCAAATATGGTAATGTCCTCACGACTTTACCAAATATGGTAATGTCCTCATGACTTTACCAAATATGGTAATGTCCTCATGACTTCCCGTTCTCAAGTTTCCTTTTACCAGTAACTTTCTTCCCCTTCAACAGAGCAGTAGGTAGTTTAAAGTGAGCATTACAAGTCATGCACATGGGTCTGAAGTTACAGTAAACAGACATGCAGACTGAACAGACGTAGCCCACATCGGTCATCTTGCTGTGACACTGACACGCTGCCCTGAAGTCAACCTGAAAACAGTGGTCAAGTGTTAAACATTAAGCAGTGGTCACGTGTTAAACAGTGGTCACGTGTTAAAGAGTGGTCACGTGTTAAACAGTGGTCACGTGTTAAAACAGTGGTCACGTGTTAAAACAGTGGTCACGTGTTAAACAGTGGTCACGTGTTAAACAGTGGTCACGTGTTAAAACAGTGGTCACGTGTTAAAACAGTGGTCACGTGTTAAGCAGTGGTCACGTGTTAAACCAGTGGTCACGTGTTAAAGAGTGGTCACGTGTTAAACAGTGGTCACGTGTTAAACAGTGGTCACGTGTTAAAGAGTGGTCACGTGTTAAACAGTGGTCACGTGTTAAAACAGTGGTCACGTGTTAAGCAGTGGTCACGTGTTAAAACAGTGGTCACGTGTTAAAACAGTGGTCACGTGTTAAACAATGGTCACGTGTTAAACAGTGGTCACGTGTCAAAACAGTGGTCACGTGTTAAACAGTGGTCACGTGTTAAGCAGTGGTCACGTGTTAAACAGTGGTCACGTGTTAAACAGTGGTCATGTGTTAAACAGTGGTCACGTGTTAAACCAGTGGTCACGTGTTAAACAGTGGTCACGTGGTAAACAGTGGTCATGTGTTAAACAGTGGTCACGTGTTAAACAGTGGTCACGTGTTAAACCAGTGGTCACGTGTTAAACAGTGGTCACGTGTTAAACAGTGGTCACGTGTTAAACAGTGGTCACGTGTTAAACAGTGGTCACGTGTTAAGCAGTGGTCACGTGTTAAAACAGTGGTCACGTGTTAAACAGTGGTCACGTGTCAAAACAGTGGTCACGTGTTAAACAGTGGTCACGTGTTAAACAGTGGTCACGTGTTAAGCAGTGGTCACGTGTTAGAACAGTGGTCACGTGTTAGAACAGTGGTCACGTGTTAGAACAGTGGTCACGTGTTAAACAGTGGTCACGTGTTAAACAGTGGTCACGTGTTAAACAGTGGTCACGTGTTAAACAGTGGTCACGTGTTAAAACAGTGGTCACGTGTTAAAACAGTGGTCACGTGTTAAAACAGTGGTCTCGTGTTAAACAGTGGTCACGTGTTAAACGTTAAAAAGCATTTCAAGTGAAATTTGAATGTTCTACTAATTATAATAAAACTGTTACGAAGTTCCCCGAATAAATTAATAATGATAAAATAGTGTTTTTGAGCAGGAATTGAGGAATTTGTCGTTTTATAACAGTATTTACATTCCTCATTCCATAACAGAGCACATTCCACCGAATTGACGAAAGCAAAAGCACCCACCTTAGCAGCTGGAGGGGTATGAAAACTCTTCCTAAACTCCACCCCCATCAGGAACACTCCCAACAGATACTGAGTAAGTTTACTGTGCTCCCCCACCCTCACGTACGTTCCTCCTGTTATCTCGCTAGCTTGCTGTAGGAACGTGGAGTCTTCACCCAACACGCACGAGTCTATAGAGACTTTATTCTTCTGGGCGGCGAAGATGGAGTTCATGATGGCCATGTACTGGGATCGGCTATCAGGGGAACCTGGTGTTGGTAGGTAGGGTTAATTATTGAAACATGTACTGGGACCGGCTATCAGGGGAACCTGGTGTTGGTAGGTAGGGTTAGTTATTGAAACATGTACTGGGACCGGCTATCAGGGGAACCTGGTGTTGGTAGGTAGGGTTAGTTATTGAAACATGTACTGGGACCGGCTATCAGGGGAACCTGGTGTTGGTAGGTAGGGTTAATTATTGAAACATGTACTGGGACCGGCTATCAGGGGAACCTGGTATTGGTAGATAGGGTTAGTTATTGAAACATGTACTGAGACCGGCTATCAGGGGAACCTGGTGTTGGTAGATAGGGTTAGTTATTGAAACATGTACTGGGACCGGCTATCAGGGGAACCTGGTGTTGGTAGATAGGGTTAGTTATTGAAACATGTACTGAGACCGGCTATCAGGGGAACCTGGTGTTGGTAGATAGGGTTAGTTATTGAAACATGTACTGGGACCGGCTATCAGGGGAACCTGGTGTTGGTAGATAGGGTTAGTTATTGAAACATGTACTGGGACCGGCTATCAGGGGAACCTGGTGTTGGTAGATAGGGTTAGTTATTGAAACATGTACTGAGACCGGCTATCAGGGGAACCTGGTGTTGGTAGATAGGGTTAGTTATTGAAACATGTACTGAGACCGGCTATCAGGGGAACCTGGTGTTGGTAGATAGGGTTAGTTATTGAAACATGTACTGGGACCGGCTATCAGGGGAACCTGGTGTTGGTAGATAGGGTTAATTATTGAAACATGTACTGAGACCGGCTATCAGGGGAACCTGGTGTTGGTAGATAGGGTTAGTTATTGAAACATGTACTGAGACCGGCTATCAGGGGAACCTGGTGTTGGTAGATAGGGTTAGTTATTGAAACATGTACTGGGACCGGCTATCAGGGGAACCTGGTGTTGGTAGGTAGGGTTAGTTATTGAAACATGTACTGGGACCGGCTATCAGGGGAACCTGGTGTTGGTAGATAGGGTTAGTTATTGAAACATGTACTGGGACCGGCTATCAGGGGAACCTGGTGTTGGTAGGTAGGGTTAGTTATTGAAACATGTACTGGGACCGGCTATCAGGGGAACCTGGTGTTGGTAGGTAGGGTTAGTTATTGAAACATGTACTGAGACCGGCTATCAGGGGAACCTGGTGTTGGTAGGTAGGGTTAGTTATTGAAACATGTACTGGGACCGGCTATCAGGGGAACCTGGTGTTGGTAGATAGGGTTAGTTATTGAAACATGTACTGGGACCGGCTATCAGGGGAACCTGGTATTGGTAGATAGGGTTAGTTATTGAAACATGTACTGAGACCGGCTATCAGGGGAACCTGGTGTTGGTAGGTAGGGTTAGTTATTGAAACATGTACTGGGACCGGCTATCAGGGGAACCTGGTGTTGGTAGATAGGGTTAGTTATTGAAACATGTACTGGGACCGGCTATCAGGGGAACCTGGTGTTGGTAGGTAGGGTTAGTTATTGAAACATGTACTGGGACCGGCTATCAGGGGAACCTGGTGTTGGTAGATAGGGTTAGTTATTGAAACATGTACTGGGACCGGCTATCAGGGGAACCTGGTGTTGGTAGGTAGGGTTAGTTATTGAAACATGTACTGGGACCGGCTATCAGGGGAACCTGGTGTTGGTAGGTAGGGTTAGTTATTGAAACATGTACTGGGACCGGCTATCAGGGGAACCTGGTGTTGGTAGATAGGGTTAGTTATTGAAACATGTACTGAGACCGGCTATCAGGGGAACCTGGTGTTGGTAGATAGGGTTAATTATTGAAACATGTACTGGGACCGGCTATCAGGGGAACCTGGTGTTGGTAGATAGGGTTAGTTATTGAAACATGTACTGGGACCGGCTATCAGGGGAACCTGGTATTGGTAGATAGGGTTAGTTATTGAAACATGTACTGGGACCGGCTATCAGGGGAACCTGGTGTTGGTAGGTAGGGTTAATTATTGAAACATGTACTGGGACCGGCTATCAGGGGAACCTGGTGTTGGTAGATAGGGTTAGTTATTGAAACATGTACTGGGACCGGCTATCAGGGGAACCTGGTGTTGGTAGGTAGGGTTAGTTATTGAAACATGTACTGGGACCGGCTATCAGGGGAACCTGGTGTTGGTAGGTAGGGTTAGTTATTGAAACATGTACTGGGACCGGCTATCAGGGGAACCTGGTGTTGGTAGATAGGGTTAGTTATTGAAACATGTACTGGGACCGGCTATCAGGGGAACCTGGTGTTGGTAGATAGGGTTAATTATTGAAACATGTACTGGGACCGGCTATCAGGGGAACCTGGTGTTGGTAGGTAGGGTTAGTTATTGAAACATGTACTGGGACCGGCTATCAGGGGAACCTGGTGTTGGTAGGTAGGTTAATTATTGAAACATGTACTGGGACCGGCTATCAGGGGAACCTGGTATTGGTAGATAGGGTTAATTATTGAAACATGTACTGGGACCGGCTATCAGGGGAACCTGGTGTTGGTAGGTAGGGTTAATTATTGAAACATGTACTGGGACCGGCTATCAGGGGAACCTGGTGTTGGTAGGTAGGGTTAGTTATTGAAACATGTACTGGGACCGGCTATCAGGGGAACCTGGTGTTGGTAGATAGGGTTAGTTATTGAAACATGTACTGGGACCGGCTATCAGGGGAACCTGGTATTGGTAGATAGGGTTAGTTATTGAAACATGTACTGGGACCGGCTATCAGGGGAACCTGGTGTTGGTAGATAGGGTTAGTTATTGAAACATGTACTGGGACCGGCTATCAGGGGAACCTGGTGTTGGTAGGTAGGGTTAATTATTGAAACATGTACTGGGACCGGCTATCAGGGGAACCTGGTGTTGGTAGATAGGGTTAGTTATTGAAACATGTACTGGGACCGGCTATCAGGGGAACCTGGTGTTGGTAGATAGGGTTAATTATTGAAACATGTACTGGGACCGGCTATCAGGGGAACCTGGTGTTGGTAGATAGGGTTAGTTATTGAAACATGTACTGGGACCGGCTATCAGGGGAACCTGGTGTTGGTAGATAGGGTTAGTTATTGAAACATGTACTGGGACCGGCTATCAGGGGAACCTGGTGTTGGTAGATAGGGTTAGTTATTGAAACATGTACTGGGACCGGCTATCAGGGGAACCTGGTGTTGGTAGGTAGGGTTAGTTATTGAAACATGTACTGGGACCGGCTATCAGGGGAACCTGGTGTTGGTAGATAGGGTTAGTTATTGAAACATGTACTGGGACCGGCTATCAGGGGAACCTGGTGTTGGTAGATAGGGTTAGTTATTGAAACATGTACTGGGACCGGCTATCAGGGGAACCTGGTGTTGGTAGATAGGGTTAGTTATTGAAACATGTACTGGGACCGGCTATCAGGGGAACCTGGTGTTGGTAGGTAGGGTTAGTTATTGAAACATGTACTGAGACCGGCTATCAGGGGAACCTGGTGTTGGTAGGTAGGGTTAATTATTGAAACATGTACTGGGACCGGCTATCAGGGGAACCTGGTGTTGGTAGGTAGGGTTAGTTATTGAAACATGTACTGGGACCGGCTATCAGGGGAACCTGGTGTTGGTAGAAGGGTTAGTTATTGAAACATGTACTGGGACCGGCTATCAGGGGAACCTGGTGTTGGTAGATAGGGTTAGTTATTGAAACATGTACTGGGACCGGCTATCAGGGGAACCTGGTGTTGGTAGATAGGGTTAGTTATTGAAACATGTACTGGGACCGGCTATCAGGGGAACCTGGTGTTGGTAGGTAGGGTTAGTTATTGAAACATGTACTGGGACCGGCTATCAGGGGAACCTGGTGTTGGTAGATAGGGTTAGTTATTGAAACATGTACTGGGACCGGCTATCAGGGGAACCTGGTGTTGGTAGGTAGGGTTAGTTATTGAAACATGTACTGGGACCGGCTATCAGGGGAACCTGGTGTTGGTAGGTAGGGTTAGTTATTGAAACATGTACTGGGACCGGCTATCAGGGGAACCTGGTGTTGGTAGGTAGGGTTAGTTATTGAAACATGTACTGGGACCGGCTATCAGGGGAACCTGGTGTTGGTAGGAAGGGTTAGTTATTGAAACATGTACTGGGACCGGCTATCAGGGGAACCTGGTGTTGGTAGGAAGGGTTAGTTATTGAAACATGTACTGGGACCGGCTATCAGGGGAACCTGGTGTTGGTAGATAGGGTTAGTTATTGAAACATGTACTGGGACCGGCTATCAGGGGAACCTGGTGTTGGTAGGAAGGGTTAGTTATTGAAACATGTACTGGGACCGGCTATCAGGGGAACCTGGTGTTGGTAGATAGGGTTAGTTATTGAAACATGTACTGGGACCGGCTATCAGGGGAACCTGGTGTTGGTAGGAAGGGTTAGTTATTGAAACATGTACTGGGACCGGCTATCAGGGGAACCTGGTGTTGGTAGGAAGGGTTAGTTATTGAAACATGTACTGGGACCGGCTATCAGGGGAACCTGGTGTTGGTAGATAGGGTTAATTATTGAAACATGTACTGAGACCGGCTATCAGGGGAACCTGGTATTGGTAGATAGGGTTAGTTATTGAAACATGTACTGGGACCGGCTATCAGGGGAACCTGGTGTTGGTAGATAGGGTTAGTTATTGAAACATGTACTGGGACCGGCTATCAGGGGAACCTGGTGTTGGTAGATAGGGTTAGTTATTGAAACATGTACTGGGACCGGCTATCAGGGGAACCTGGTGTTGGTAGATAGGGTTAGTTATTGAAACATGTACTGGGACCGGCTATCAGGGGAACCTGGTGTTGGTAGATAGGGTTAGTTATTGAAACATGTACTGGGACCGGCTATCAGGGGAACCTGGTGTTGGTAGATAGGGTTAGTTATTGAAACATGTACTGGGACCGGCTATCAGGGGAACCTGGTGTTGGTAGGTAGGGTTAGTTATTGAAACATGTACTGGGACCGGCTATCAGGGGAACCTGGTGTTGGTAGATAGGGTTAGTTATTGAAACATGTACTGGGACCGGCTATCAGGGGAACCTGGTGTTGGTAGATAGGGTTAGTTATTGAAACATGTACTGGGACCGGCTATCAGGGGAACCTGGTGTTGGTAGGTAGGGTTAGTTATTGAAACATGTACTGAGACCGGCTATCAGGGGAACCTGGTGTTGGTAGGTAGGGTTAATTATTGAAACATGTACTGGGACCGGCTATCAGGGGAACCTGGTGTTGGTAGATAGGGTTAGTTATTGAAACATGTACTGGGACCGGCTATCAGGGGAACCTGGTGTTGGTAGATAGGGTTAATTATTGAAACATGTACTGGGACCGGCTATCAGGGGAACCTGGTGTTGGTAGATAGGGTTAATTATTGAAACATGTACTGGGATCGGCTATCAGGGGAACCTGGTGTTGGTAGATAGGGTTAGTTATTGAAACATGTACTGGGACCGGCTATCAGGGGAACCTGGTGTTGGTAGGTAGGGTTAATTATTGAAACATGTACTGGGACCGGCTATCAGGGGAACCTGGTGTTGGTAGGTAGGGTTAGTTATTGAAACATGTACTGGGACCGGCTATCAGGGGAACCTGGTGTTGGTAGATAGGTTAATTATTGAAACATGTACTGGGACCGGCTATCAGGGGAACCTGGTGTTGGTAGATAGGGTTAGTTATTGAAACATGTACTGAGACCGGCTATCAGGGGAACCTGGTGTTGGTAGATAGGGTTAGTTATTGAAACATGTACTGGGACCGGCTATCAGGGGAACCTGGTGTTGGTAGGTAGGGTTAATTATTGAAACATGTACTGGGACCGGCTATCAGGGGAACCTGGTGTTGGTAGATAGGGTTAGTTATTGAAACATGTACTGGGACCGGCTATCAGGGGAACCTGGTATTGGTAGATAGGGTTAATTATTGAAACATGTACTGGGACCGGCTATCAGGGGAACCTGGTGTTGGTAGATAGGGTTAGTTATTGAAACATGTACTGGGACCGGCTATCAGGGGAACCTGGTGTTGGTAGGTAGGGTTAGTTATTGAAACATGTACTGAGACCGGCTATCAGGGGAACCTGGTGTTGGTAGATAGGGTTAGTTATTGAAACATGTACTGGGACCGGCTATCAGGGGAACCTGGTGTTGGTAGGTAGGTTAATTATTGAAAATTGCTAAATGCTAATTGACTTAAAGGACCAGTTAACTGAAAAATTTGTAGTCTCCAATTTGGCTAAGATTTAAATCAGCTGTGACAAACTGGTAAAGAGTCGTATCGCCGAAAGAACCAACTCTCTAGCGTACGTGTAACGCGTGTTATTGCAATAATAAGCTGTGGCCTCGTGACGTCATAAAGTCCCTCAGTGCGCGCTTGCATAGCGTAATTTACATTACAAATGTTTATCATCGTCAATAAAACACGTGTAACTCACTCAAATTTTAGAATTATGACTATTACCCTAGTTCTCCAAAATCCTTATAGTTTTGGCTATCATCCTAACTAAAGGAATAGCTGATTGGATGTACAGTGCTCACGTCATGATTTTAAACAGTGATATAGGTTCTTGAACAGTGGCGGGTGAATGTAAGGTTAGAAAGTTTCTGCTATTACAACTTATGTCATGTGTGATAATTTTGGATTGTTTTCATTGCTTAATTACACAAACAGGGAGACTGTACCGATTATTTTTCCCCAGTCCATGAAACTCTAACGAATTTAGAAAGGATCTAGATAAGTAGGAGTTTGTTCAATTCCGATCGAGCAATTATATTTATAGCATAGCGAAATTTCTAAGTTTAATCCGCATGTGTCAGCCAGTACAGGAGACAAGAAGTCTGGCTACTTTACGGCCGTTCCTCTGGGACCATTAGTAGAAGTAGCTTCTATCAGAACAGTGCCGTGGGAACAGAATTCCCGCCAAAATACCCGGTCTCGGGTCTACCAAATAGTAATGTACTGATTGGAGTGTACGGTGTGCGGTGTGTTTTGAATTAGACTTACGGCTTACCTAGTTGTTATCCTAATTGCATTATCATCGGTACATAACATAAATAAACTACTGGTAAGTTTAAATACCAAGTGCAAACGTGTTCAGTCAATCGACCCACTGAACAACTATAGAATTTCCAAGACCCTATTATTCTCTGGCCATATATTACGGCACGATCGATTGTTAGATGGCTAAACGACCAACGTTAATCTATTCAATTCTAAAACTATGAGCTAGCACTTTAATCTAAAAATACACTTTATATAACTCCTGATTTTTACATTTCACGTAAAACATTGTCGCCACAGGTTGATCATGGACACTAACAGCTTAATTTGAGATAAATGACTTATGAGTTTCTCTAAAGTTAACTCTAAAGTTGTGTAGTCCAGTCATTTATGGACATTTATGGAAATGAACCTGCAAATGTTCAAATACTCACGAAACTTTGCACAGACCTTCCCGAAGGTATGAATAAACGATTTTCGTTTGGAGACATTTTTTTGACCATGGAGAAAACCCAGGAGGGCCACGCCCATATTGACCCAATAACGTAACCGACCCCTTGCTTCTGAAGGTCGTAGAGACTTCAAAATAGGCTTAAACGAAGCCGCATATGCATGTTTATATAGAAGTTATTGAGCAACACATGGCGTAAAATCCTTACTTTTCGAGAAATTCGCCAAAAACCATTTTGGGCGTGGTGCTGAGCCCATTTTCGATAGGATCGTGATAGAGTCTTTAGACAGGGTGCAAAAGAACCGCAATTAGCATATTAATATATGACTTACGAACAAACATATGCCTTAAAGTGCTTACTTTTTCAATTATTGGCGAAAAACTGATTTTCGGTTCCAGAAATCATGCAAAACTATGGGTATCTGGTAAATTGGGCTATGAAGGCCCTAAAGGTTCTTGAATGTGTGCAAATTGTGCAGAATGGCCATGTTTATATACAACTTATGAAGCAACATGTACCCTAAATTACTTACTTTTCGAGTTATTCGGGGAAAAACATTGTATTATGCCCATTTTCTACCTGTAAAATACAGTCTCACGAGCTCTTCTGCGCGCAAGGGACTTTATGACGTCATCGCCAAAATAATACAAACGCTATTTACACGCGTTAGAGAGCAGTTAGAGATTTAGGAATTTCGACTCGTTGCTTAGTTTGCTATTTGTCACAATCTGTCAAAATACGAGGATAACTTTTTTTTCAGTTAACTGGTCCTTTAAGTGATTGGTTACTGTTATTATAAGAGATGAGGTGGCGTCCAGAAGTGCAGTTGGTATATTTATATGATACTAAAGTTTTGGAGAATGATGATTGGTCAAGTACGGATATGATTTGTGTCAAACAGTAAAATAGTAGTAAAATAGTAAACAAATCCTTCATTGATTTTTAAACAGACCTTTCATGACCAGTATTCTGGATTGAAGTATACTTCCAAGAGAAAGATTCTTTGACATAACGTTACAGTGACATAGAGCTTTGATCAGTGCGCCACTCAACAGTGAACCTGCAGATTTGACAAATCTGAGCAACATTTCGATAGGTCTACAATTAAAGATATAGGAAAACTCTCTTATTTAAAGGAATATGAAAAATCGCTCGTTTAAAATTTGCTCTAATCTTTAGTTAATTGATTTCATAAGATAAAATTAAAATGAAGCTCAGTTTAGAGCCTTGAATAAAGATCTAGTCTGTACGAGCACACCACACAGACAGTACAATCAAGATAACAAGACACACAAACCATCAAGTTGTCTGTGCTCCTCAGGGTTATCACACTCCAACATCACATCCTTTATCTTCATCAGTATCGTGGTGTTCACCACATCAAACCCCTCGAACTTGCCCGCAGTGCTCTCTCCAACCACTAGGTTCTCTTCGTCTGGGTACAGCTTGTAAACTCCCGTGTTCATGTAACCGTATACACTCAACTGTGGAGGAAGTGTCAGCTTTATTCTACCTTTATTTTGATTATAAATATTGAATAAAGGTAGATTAAATCATATGTCCAGAATAGAGTCTAGCAACCATTGTGATTATTTTATAGATTTGCATAAATTTGTAAACAAAATCATATTGAACTTAAATTTTTAAGAAACTATATTTAATCCTATATTACTACAGATTCTATGGAGCTATGGAAGCTTCTAGTAATATCCACCATGTAACTACAGTGCAGAAGCAGGTAATAGTACACAAACACAACAGGTAATAGTACACAAACACCAGTATATTAACAACGAACCTTATTAAGTGGGCTCTGGAGAAGATGCGCGTTAGCGAGGATTAGAGAGCTCTGGATGACCTCAGTCAAAGAGTGGTTAGCCCACCAGACAGGGTGGAGATCCACTACAATAACAAGGAGATTACCCACCCTGTCTCCCATGGTGTGGGAGTGGCGAGGGAGTGGAGGGGTTAGTTCAGGAGATGAGCTTGGGAGAGGAGGTGGGGGATAGCAGTGCAGATAATGTCATGTTGGTGTCAAAGTTGGGCTAGAGAGGGATTTTAGTGTTAAATTTTTAAGTATTGTCTAACATCTTATTTTGTATAAATATAATTGTTAATTTTTTAATTATTGGTGACTACTGAAAACCTATCTGGCAATTTCGATATTTTGTTTATTTTATTTTAAATCAACAACGGGAGCAAATTTTTTCTGAGCAGTAAAACTAAAACCGATTTTGAAGATGTCAAAGTTTTGCTTAAAAAGGGTAAAACTGGTAAGTTAGAATGGACGGACAATTGTAAATAAAATTTGGAACTTTAAACCTACAGCAATAAATTACTGATAGTAATAAATTAAGAAAGATCCCCAAAAAACCGCAGATAAAATGTGTTTAAAAACCATCACGTTACACTCTTTCACCTCAACAAGTGTTTAAAAATTCCAGCAACTTATCTCTACCAGCACACTGCTCGAAACTAGTAACATCACTCTGCTTCAAACTACTGACCAGTTCATCGTGTTTGTCCGTAGTTTTCTGCTCGATCAATCTGAGGACAGAGAAAGCACCTCGATTTGTCTTGGCCCAATTAGTGATGTCATCCAGGGGGATCTTGCTGGTAACTATGTCATTGAACTGCTTCTGATGGTCTTTGTTCTGCTGGACACTTCTCATGAGGATGTGCATGGTTGTTGTGTCAACAAGTGATAGATCACTGGCTAACAGATCAACAATTGCTGTTAAAAGGTCGGTTATGTCACAATTGGCATGAGTAACTGCAGATGTAAGGAGTAAGGTCCTTGTGTTTTCCATCAACATACTCTCAACATTATCTTTGAAGTTGTCTATGATTCCGGGGGAAGCATAGGTTAAAAGCTCTTTTCTTCTCGCTTCGGGGTCTTTCTTGGACACACTGTTTGTATCTCCAATCTTCAGAAAGTCAATTATACTGGGAGGGAAAAGTTTAGTTGATCTTGGTGCCAGGATATAGTTTAGCAATAATCTTCCACAATGTGACATGGTGATGGTGTCAATGCTTTCCATAATCTCTGATAAGATTGCTTTTTTGAGTAAAACTGTATCATCAACACAATCAAATAAGGCACACAAAACAAGATAACCGTTTTCGTTCATGCACATGTCCTTGACATGACCCTTGAAGGTTCTGATGATCAGTTTTCTTTCCTTAGCTTTGCTGTACCACAAACACCTCATTGCTATCTTGGAGCCTTCTTTAGTGTGAACAAACTTAACAATCTGTTCAATAAGCTTTTCGGACACTAACTCTTGAATGGTTTCTTCGGTGCCATGAAGGAAATACTGTAACATGAGATGCTGTACAATTATGTGACCTGTGAGTCCCTTTTCTATGAACACCTGGGTGTGGTTTAAAAGTTCTTCTAAAACCTTTTCTTTCTTATCAGGATACAGTTCTATAACCTTGGTAAAGTGCTCTGACAAAAGATCTCTGTAAAGATATAGCTCTTTTCCGTAGAATTCTGTGATCATTTCTGTTCTTTCTTTGCTGGTAGCATAGTCGTTGTACATGGTATCAATTACAGTTACAGCCTCTGCGTGAAGTGTAAGTTTCTTGAATTGTCCTTTCAATGCCTTGAAGATTAGTTTTCTTTGTTTAGGAGAAGTGTTTTTCAGCATGCAGTTTACAGTAAATTTACCATATTTTGCTTTAGATAGCTCACACACATGGGGAAGTAGCTCTTGGACGATGAAATTATTGTCTTCGGATTTTCCAAGTCTTAAGAGAAGTTGGACTACTCGCGCAAGATCATGCTTGAACATGAGGGACTCTACTTTTCCTTCCATTAACTCCTTAAGCTCTGCAACAATCTCTGCTCGTTTGGAATCAGCAATGTCATTTACTCTGCCTTTTTCCCACAGTGCTTTTATCTTGGTAAGGTTTTCATATTCATTGTCTTCACAAGCTTTTCTAACCTTTTTCAGAGCTTTCTTCTTCAGAGGTTCTTTTGGCTCTTTGGGTTCGGATGATTTCCTCTTCTTCGGGTTCTTCTTTTTCTCTTCAAGCGCCTCTTTTCGTTTATCTTGCTTTTCTTTTCTATTTTCTTTTAGTGCTTCCAAAACTTCTTTAGGAACAAGTGCCTTCTTACCACTTTGTGGAATAGTCTGTTTGCTGGACTTTCTTGTTTTCCCTGCTGCTTTCTTCTTCACAGGGTCTTTCTTCAAGTCAGTCCTGCCATATTTACCAGATTTTCCGGCTAAAGCTCTCTTGACCATCCCTGAAAATTATAGGATCAGCATGATCATTTAAATATTGTACTAGAATAGAGGCAGCAAAAAATCATAGATAAGATTGCATGCTCCTAATGGAAAATTTGGTAAATGATTTTCATGAAGAATGTTATAGTAGTTTTCAGGTAGTTATAAACAGAGACCAGAATGAAGCAATTTAAAATTCGCATATAAAGGACAAAAATATGATTTTATAAACAGTAGCTAGAAGTATTTATATATAAACGCTTGCAGCTTCTAAAAACTGTATAAAGTTGTGTCAATGGAAAATTAAATGTGTATTATCACATGATGTATTGTTTAAACACTCAAGAATTTTCTAACACATTTGGTTATTATGCTTCTCACAGACAAGAAATGGGGAAATTACAACAATATGCAACACAGTCTTTTCCAAATACTAACTCATTTGTTTTATCCGAGACTTAATCAGATACAAACGTTTTAACAATTATTCAATTCTTGTAACTAATTTTCGAATTCACAGGCAGGTCTACTAAGGGTCACAAATATTTTAATTGGAATGTTAGGAGTCAAGACTTTTTTCTTGAAGCTTGACTAATTCACTAAACATTCCTCCAGCATTAACAAGAGAATTATAGTTGCCAACTTCTTTAACAACCCCCTTGTCCATAACAATAATCTTGTCTGCTTTAATGATGGTGGACAATCTGTGGGCGATGACAATTGTGGTACAATCGATGTTATCTTCTATGTTCTTTAAGACCTTTCCTTCAGTTGCAGAATCAAGTGCACTGGTAGCTTCATCTAAAATAAGAATGTCTGGGTTTCTAACAATAGCTCTTGCAATAGCAATTCTCTGCTTCTGACCTCCAGATAAGGAAGACCCTTTATTTCCAACCTCTGAGTGGATCCCATGTTCAAACTCAGCAACAAAAGGAAGGACCTCAGCAATCTCAGCTGCTTTTATTACTTGATCCTCAGTCAGATCATCCTGGCAGCCATATGCAATGTTGTAATGAATAGAAGCTGTAAACAAAGGTGGTTCCTGAGATACAATCGATACATGGTTAGCCAGTTGTTTACTGGGAATGTCCCTGATATTAAAACCTCCGATAGTGATGGCTCCATTTTCACAGTGATACAAACCAGCTAATAGCCATGTCACAGTGGACTTTCCACAACCACTTGAACCAACAAGGGCTGTTACTTGGCCCTTTTGAAAAACCTCAGAAAAATCATTCAAAATAACCTCATCAGGACGAGAAGGGTATCTGAACTTTACATTCGAAAGCTGTATGTCCTTTGCAAAGCATTCATGTGGTATTGGTTGGCGCAAATCTTGTGGTGGTGCAGTGTCTATAATCTCAAATAATCGCTGTCCTGCACCTGCTCCAGCCATCAGTGCACCATATGCCTTGCCCAATCCTGCCACTCCAATACCACTGTACACTGTATAAAGAAGAAATCCTGTTAATGTTCCTGGTGATATAGATCCTGATAAACTCAATTGATATCCACTGTAAAGAACAACAAGTAGAGCAAAGTTACCGGAACCACCAAGAAATGACCAGTATAAAGAGTTCACAGCAGCACTCTTGTAGCCAAGAGAAAGAATTTTATTAAGGTGATTACCATATAGACCAATTTCTTTTTCTTCAGCACCAAATGCTTTAACAACTTTTATTCCAGAAAAACCTTCTTCTGCTCTAGCTGTTGACAGAGCCAAATTATCCTGAAGTTCCTTTGAAATACGGCGCACAATTTTACCAGCAAAATAGGCAACAATCATAATTGATGGTACAATCAAAGAAGCTCTTAAGGCAAGATCAGGAGCAACATATACCATGAGGCCAATGGAAACAATAGATTGTCCAAAGGATCTCAAAATATCACTCACATTCTGAGTCAAAACATCCCCTACCAACTGACAATCTGCTGATAAACGATTCACCAACTCTCCTGATGTGGTGTTGTCAAAATATGGCATATCATTCCTCATTAGTGAAGATAACACATTGAGACGCAAATCTCGAACAACTCTACAACTTGCAGACTGGATAAACCATATTCTACCAGTGTTTGCTAAAGCACCAATAGCAAATAAGCCAGCAAATCCAAGGCACACTTGTTCAAAATCGAGATTTTGAAGTAAACTGGAACTTTCAGTTGTACTGGTCTTGAATATAGCATCAACTGTATGCTGAACACACAATGGCACTGATAAAGTCACAGCAGTACTCACACCCAACAGACTTACAGCAGCCAGACAACTGAATTTTTCTGGTGCAAGCAAAGATAAAAGCCTTTTCAAAGATCTGTTCTTTGGTTTTGGTTTCAGCGACATCTTGTCAGTATCACTATTCATGGCAATTAAAGTACGTGGGATCCAGATGCGCTTCTTGGTGATGTGATTGATGCTTGAGATGACTTTCAGTCTATTCAGCATTTACCTAAATCATACATATTCCTGAAACATATAAAGTAATTAATAATTATGGGTTAAGTCGATTGCGGGGTTAAAACAACCATGGTATTCAAATGTGTGACAATTTTACAAGCTCTCATCAGCACAGTGTCTTCAACAGTCAGTTAATATCACAGTTTAGATGCAACTTTTCACCATGGTATTGAACAGTAGATCAGAGTAGCAGAGCTAGAGGTGGTTCCTGGACTTACTGTACTAGAAGATGGAAGGAAAAGATTATGCACACTTTGATGCAAAATTGACAGAGAATGATGGAAGAGCCAATTAGCCAGTATTGTGCTTCTATTACATCTTATACTCAGCTTCATATACATAGATTGTAATCTAATTCTTACCTATTCCTGATAATGTACCCAATGTAGGAGCTGAGCAACTTTAATACCATCGAGTATGTATAGGCCTTAAACCAGCCAGAAACAGAGGCTCATTGTCACTACTATTATTAATGAATTCATTCAAACAAAATACGCAAATAAATTCAGCACATGGTAATTGTCTAACTATAACATAAAGTTTATATATGAGGTTAAACACCTAGAAGTAAGATTCCGTCAACAAATTGAAAATTAATCAATGGAACGAGGAATTTTCAGTGAAACAAGAAATATAATTTCCGTCGCATTTTACAGTATAAAAATATGTAACTGCTAATTTGGTTTTGAAAGGACAGATAACTATCAAGGCAAGGAATGTGGAAAGCTTTTTCACACACCGAAACGTTAATTCAGATGAATTTTAAAAGACAAGGCTAATATTAGGACCCGAGAACAATTGTTAAAAGATATTATAGCGGTTCAGTTTATAGTTCAAAATCTTTAAGGCGCAATCTAACTTGAAAGCACATTCGATTTGATACGTATGAAATATGTCTATAACATGATTGATTCTACACTAAGTTGAATAATAGGTTCAATAGGTAGGTAGGTTCAATAGGTAGGTAGGATCCAATCAAACAGGATGTGGCCATGTTGATGATTTAACATTGCACGTGTAAGCTTTCCCCGCAAACAAAATAGTTTAATTTTTTACCAAATATACACAATAAGGTTTGGTACTTTATCCGTACCTCCCCTTTCATAGAAATAATAGCAAAAATATACACCTATCTTTAAGAGATCAACATCTGATATAAAACATTCGATCAACCAAAATTAAAACAATTTTCCTGTTAATAATTTAACGGCACTCATAAGAGGTCATACTAGGTATAAGTCCAAATGCTGTGTCAGCAACCGTTTTTGTTACTTTCTTTTCTTCTTGACTCCTCACTCCATGAACTGATACCACTATGCTTTTAAGCATAGCAAAGCATATCTTGGTCCTGATGTAGTTGATAACATCTGTGTAGCTCTCCTTTCTCTTCTTTGATATCAATCTAGCAAGACGTTTGTGAAATCTGTCACATTCTGGTGCTGTAGTCCCTGCTGTAGAAAACACTAGAGGAATGAAAGACGCTCTTTCAGTGTTGATGACTCGTGAGTTATACTTAGTTTTTTTTTCTTCTTCATTTCTCTTGTACAACTTGTCCAGGGGAACATTAAGGTTTGATGGTGCATTTGGGTGTGTTATTCTTACATCCATGAAAGTCCTAGCATTCCTGCCATATAATCCAGTTGCAACAATATCTAGCCTTGCTCCGCTGTCAGTAGTAGTTCCTTTGGGATGAAGTTCTGGAGACGTTGGTAAGAGAGCTGGCTCAGTATAAACGTTTCTACATTTAGCCTCACGTAGTAGATCTGCTTCGGTTTCTACAAGCACTGTATGTCTAAAGGAAACATACCCTCCTTTTTTACAAGAAAGGGCATGATCGACGGAGTTTCTTTCTCCACACGCACAGTGTTTAGCAATATCTTGTATAGGCCAGCCATATCGCAAACATATACCATCTCTAAAGTCCTTCTTGTTCAAGCAGTAACCATAAGACTGCATTGGGAGGGCTGACAGCCAGGATGAACTGCCTTTTTGTGTAGCCAGTGAAAACGATCTTTTCTTTGCTGGAGAACTTATTGCGTTTTCTATTCTGAGTCTCTCTGCTGCAAAATCTTTTTCTTTTTCAGCTTTCAGTGCTGCTTTGGTGTTTGCAATAGCTGTGAGGTCAAGTTTGCCTAGATCATGATCTTGGTTATAGATAAGATTAGCCAGAGGTTTTGTGATTTTCTGTGACGCCTCATATTCTCTGTCTGCTGTATGAACAGGATTTTGAATTCCTAAGCCACCGTGTCTAAGAGGTAGTGCGACCATGTCTCTCTCTAGGTCTGTTACTGGGCGATTGAATATAGAGGGAAGAAGTATTGTTCTAATTGCTTCTTCAAGGGGTCTAAACAGCTCTGATATCCCTCCAATTGTTCTTTGAACAAAAGACCATCTATGACTCAACCCTTTAGTGTAAGCAGAATATGCTATTTGAGGTTCTTCTTTGGCAATCTCAGCCAGTTGTTTAACATCTTCAATCCAGGATGAAACTTTATTTTTCACATAAAGGTCTCTGTAGCTTTCTGATCCAATTACAGCCCCAAGGTGTCTGTCTCCGTCCCTCTTTATGTGAACCCCTGAGTCTTTGAAGATAGCATTAGCTGCAGGAAGATTTACTAGGTCCTTGACTATTAACACAGTCTTTGTAGCATTTGGGAAATAACCATACTTTGGTCCTAACTGTTGTAAGGTGTCCCAGAGCTTCTTAAGCTGAAGAAGTTTTCCCCCTGCTGTTCCATCATCTGCAAACCAGGCTTGTTTTGCTAAGGGTAACACATGGTCTTGGTTTCTAGTGATGTCATCCATTAATGGTCTTATTGATATTGCATATTTAGCCATGGCTGCTGGGTCGCCTTGGGTTGAACCATCTTCTCCCTTGATGATTTCAAGCTGTCCCTTTTCATCCACTATGTATAGATCTGTTGAATCTTGATAACAGTTTTGGAGGAAGCAATGAAGAGATGGACACAGTTCTCTTATGTTGTTTAGTGCTACCTTTCTATTGAGGGAGTTAAAAGCATTCTTGGCATCGATCAACAACACTGCTTCGCAGTCTTCGTCCTCAAAAACTGCTTTCATTCCGTGAATAGCAGCTTCTATGCCCGACTCTGTCCCTGAACATGTTTGAAGACTCCCAGCAGCCATTTGGATGTCCAACTTGAGTATTCTTGTGACTGCTTTGGCAACGATTCTTCGAAGGACTTCTCCAATTCCTATAGGTCTTATGGCAGGAACTATAGAGCCAGGCTCTTTGTCAAGGGGTATAAGTCTTCCTGCAACAAACTCTTTTAGGTAGCTAGATGGAGTTTGTTCTGTGCAGAGCTTTTTAGTCAGATCAGCTACTGTCTGGGCAAGCTTATCTGATTCAGTGCTGTGGAATCTTGAGCATATCATATGCTTGAAGATATGGGCACTTATCTTTGTTGGACCTCCTGCCCCATCTAGATCTTTTGCCACTTTCTGAATCAGGTCAGCATCAATACTTTCATAAATTACTTGATCAGGAAGCTCTGATTTGACCTCTAGCATGACCTCCGGATGTTCAGGGCTAGCTTCTGGGTGCTTTTTCTTAAGCTCATCAATGACTGCTTGTGTAAGATTATGTACACCACTGCTAAGTTTTTCTTCATCATTGATGTACTTAAGGGCTTTCTGGACTCGCCCTTGTAGCATCAATCTGCAGAAAGCTTTCTTATGATTCATTACCCTGTCTTTTTGCTTTTTGTCCAGATGAGCCTGAATTTGACGGCATTGTTTCATAATTGCATCAATTTCACCGTCTGCCCACAACTTAAGCCTTTCCTTTAGATATTTGGTGTTCTGCTTGGGTTTCGATTTTGGTGTTGGGCGCTGGAGCATCAAAGGCATGAACACATGGACGAGCTTTAAGGAAAAGGGTTTCCATTTTGTGTTATACGTAAACTCACTGAGAATCCTAGACACCTCCTCAATGTAGTCTTTCCCGGCTCTGCCCCTTGGAACTTCAAATAAATTGCTGCGCCAAGTTATCATCTCAGTATAGACTTCATCTAGTTTTGCTCCTATCTCCTCTTCCCCTATCATCTTGCCCCATCTTATAGATTCTTGAAGTCTGTGTACACATTCTTTGCAATGCCATGGTTCTGTTGACTGGTCCTCAAAAAACTTAAGTTGTTCCTCTTCACTTAGCACACATCGATCATGGAACCATCTGGAACACATACCTTCACAACCAATAGCCTTATCCTTCTCCTTAAGGACTTTTGTACACTTCCCACATAACCATTTGCCTTCAGCATTTTCTGATACTGCATCTTGACCATTACGGATGTCATTCAAGGTCTGAGAGAGGGTGGGGATAACAACTGTTCTCTCAAGTTCATCTTCAGCTGGTACTGCTATGTCTAGCTTGATATCCCTCAACAAGAGGTCGTTGTTGCATTCTGATGACATCAAAGAGAGAAGGATACACAACAAGAGTATAAACAAAAGAAGTTTCACCGTCTGCCCACAACTTAAGCCTTTCCTTTAGATATTTGGTGTTCTGCTTGGGTTTCGATTTTGGTGTTGGGCGCTGGAGCATCAAAGGCATGAACACATGGACGAGCTTTAAGGAAAAGGGTTTAATTTAAAACGGAGTAAACATCTGAATAAAAATTAAAGTAAAAACCTTTGAAAATTCATTAACCTTTAAAAATCTGAGTAATGTTCATAAAGCTCTTCATTACAGTAAAAGTAGCCAAATGACGATTCAGTGTACTGACTCTAAATTTATATTTAAATTTACTGTTTTGACCGCAATACCACTTTTCAACCCTGGCCTCTTTTTTCCTAAAAACAATGATTGTCGTTCGATCATATGTTGACGGATGTTACTCGTCTAAATTTCTTCGAAGTAGCGCGCGCCGCTTTCTTCTCGAAATGATGGCCCGATGGCACGAGCTACGAAGTAACGCGCGCCGGGCCAAATCATTAACAATGGTCAATATCATATGTCAAATCTTACTTTTTTTCAAATAAATGTCATTGCCTCATTTATTTAACTATATTTTCATTCTTTGATCTAATTTTCTAAACAGCTTATCAGCTAGCTTTTAAAATCATTTTTTCAATTTTCTTTGCACTCCTCATTGCTCATGTTGTTGATACGACTATTGAATGTTTTAGGAGAGCATACACGTTTTAAAAAACACAGATTTATTGATTGACCATTTCATTAATTGACGATGTCAATTCTTCGCAGCTCGGTGAGGCCAAGTAGCGCAAATTTCGTTGCGAGAAGGATAATTGAGTGCGCGGCCCAATAATTTATACGAGTAACATCCGTCAATAAAATTTTGAAGATCATGTTTACTAATTTTGTACTTGTAGCGTGATGCATTACTTTGTAGGTTTACAACCTACCAGGACGCGCGCCGAGTTGGACTCGTCGACGGTTCCAATATATGGAACAAATATTTTACGAGTATCACCCGTTAATGCGTTACTGGGCCACGCCGTGCCGTGCACACTGCACTCATTTATGCTTCTCGCAAGGCCTCGCCGAGCTGCGATGAATTGACATCATCAATCAAGTTTACTTCTTAATGCACAGCTATGATGTACAGAGTTGACATGTGAATTCTACCCTGTATCTAGCCCATTTCTAGGTCAGTTAAATTCTACTGATATGATTAGGTAGTGCGCCATCGACAGTGAGCCGCGCGTGCCGACTGTAGGATGGTTTTTTAGCGCTAATTTCGGCCGGCACAATTTTCTTCAAACAAATAGATATTAAGTATCTTTCCCGACCTCCGATTAATTGGTAGGCTTACTCATAGACTTACAAGGAAGGTGTCCGAAAAGTTTAAAGCATATCCGACCATCAGACATTATGTTACAGCTAAAAGCAGCGTATTTTGCCCCATTTTGATCACTATATCAACTCCGATATCCACCAAATTTTTCGGACAGTTGTGAAAGCCCTATTGGAAGGTCGTCGCCAATTTTCAGAATGATCTCATTTAAGGAACTGAAGATATATCCAAATAATACGACAAAAATCAACGAATTTGGTCAAATTACGCGACTTTTACAGCTAATTTTGCTCCAAAAGCCGCGCACCATCAAATATGGCACCTAGGCGAAACTCACTGATCTTTCCAAAAAGGTATGACAAATTTGGTATTGTGAAAATTCTCACAGTCTCTAGAAAACAATGGTACACAAATTTTAAAAATCCAAGCAAGTTTATTTTTATGGTGCACGTGCACCATAAAAATAAACTTGCTTGGATACCCCCTAATATGATGGATCACATCACTAATTATACGTCACTAATTGTTGTCATACGTTGTATGACCCGCCGCGCACGAAGTATCTCCCTGTATCGTCAGACGATAAAGTCTAGTGAAACGACCGTGGGTGTGATATAAACTAATTGGTGACATGTAATCTGATCTCTGTTGGACCTCTAATAATGAGGGGGCCTGGCCGTCGGCCTCCCCGTTACTGGGCCTCGCCGAGCTGCGAAGAATTGACATCGTCAATTAACGAATCAAGTAATTAATCATCATCCACACTCGACTAGACTGTCATGTTACTTTTTAAACACGTCCTCCAGGTGAGTAGCGTGGCTAGCTCTCTGCTATGAATGACTATTCAAAACCCTAATCCTCTAATTTGATCCCAACCCTATTAGCCCTAATATAACTGAAGTATATATGCTGAAACCCTAACCCTAAATTAGACCAATTTCATTTGCATTTGTCAATGTATAACTTTACTTATATTATAGTCATATCACCGGATTGCGGATCGTTTTTGTTTGAAATGAGACTGACCAATCTGTCACTATTCAAATTTGAACGAGGAACAGGTTTAAGAAATTCCCTTTAATAATAATATAATGTGTAAGGGGCCATCTACTTAGAACGACCACCAAAATCGCAGTTTTTCAGATCACCCCCTCCCCTTGTCCGGGTGTGTCCGAATAACCGAATTTTAAAAACCATCCCCTCCCACGGACGTCCGGATTTCCGGCTACTTAAAATACTAATAGACAATAATACATTTAGTGTCGAACAAGGTTAGCAAAGTTACATTTAAGTACTCGTTCAAAATACAGGGATCTAAACTTACAGAGTAATTAGTGTCAAAGAGATGAAATAAATAGGAATATTTCGTTAATTCTGCCAAAATTTCCGGACGTCCGAATTTTCAGAAACCACCCCTATCCCGTCCGTAACAGTCCGAAATTCCAAAACCACTGGCACTCCGTCCCTATCGGACGTCCTATGTAGATATCCCCTCATGAGATAATCTGTAACCAAAATCCCTTCGAATTATTAAGCTTCAAGTGAATAGTCAATGATTGAGGATCTAGAATTGAATATTTATTAATAATATGAATATAAATAACGATAGAATATTGCATATCTGATATCAATATCATAAAAAAGTTGTGCAAAAATACAAATCATACAAAAATACAAATCATACAAAGCATAGATACACCGTATAAGAATTCACAGTCTCACTAACAATTAAAAACCCCTCGATGCTCAACCAATTTCAATCAGTGACTTTGATTATCGTTTATATATATTTATTCAAAGTCACTTAAAAAATAATAACATATCAGTCCCGCTGGTCAACAGCAAAACCTCTTGCTGGTCCGAAAGTACCCAACTATAAGTATAACGGAACAATATTTAAAATATTAAATGTTTCTGATTTCATGCTTCAACTTGGTTCCTCCATGGTGATTTTGTTGTCAGGGCAGTTATAGCGTGGCACTGGTTACCATCTCGCTAACTCCGCATGCGTTACTACCGCGGTAAATTCTGTAGAAGTTCAACTGATTAATTTTCGAGGACATTTACGTTTAAACTGTGATCAATCGTGTAAGCTGTGATTAATCATTTAAATGAGAATTGATCAATCCTACGAATTTTCTTAGTGCAAGAAGTCTGAAGGTTTTAAAAACTAATAAACCAGTAACCACACTTACAGCAAAACAACTAATTAATTGACTAATTACCTGTAGTATCCCTGCTCGCCCCATCCAGTGCCCCAACTATTTTTAATGTTCCAGTAAGGAACACCGTCCTCCTCTCCGAACCCTGTTATCAGGACACCGTGATCCAGTCTAGCAGGGCGACACAGGAACCAATAAGGATGAGCAATACCGCCTGGTTAATTAAATTATTCAATAATTAATGGTTAATTAATTCATTTAATTTAGACAACAGGAATAGTCAAGTTCAAAAGGAACGGATAACATGAGGATTATATACAGGATTATATAGAAGACAACACGAGAACAGCTCACCCATGTAGAACTGCATCATGAAGGCGTTGATTCCAATAGAGACGGGTCCGTTAGCGGCAATCCAAGCAGCAATCTGAGCCTCGTCCTTTGGAAGCTGGATCCCTCCGGACACTTGCACTTTAGACTGCAAATAATTGAACTTTAAATTCGAGACGTTTGTCGTTTAGGGTACACGTGATTGAATAAGAATAACTCAAGAAGGGGCTGAGGAAGAGAGAGAGAGAGAGAGAGAGAGAGAGAGAGAGAGAGAGAGAGAGAGAGAGAGAGAGAGAGAGAGAGAGAGAGAGAGAGAGAGAGAGAGAGAAAGAGAGAGAGAGAGAGATACACTACCTTTCCTTGCTTGAAAGAGCACGTGTCCCCGTGACCTGTGTAAGGGTAATCAGTCTCCAGCTCCAGTCCTCCAATCCTCTTTATCTCCAGGTAAGCTTGTGAAGGTAATCCTCCGTTACACCCCTCGTCAACCTGACCAGTTCTTTACTAGAGTTGTTTTATCGAGCACAGACTTATACAGACTTATAGTATATTATATACTATACACATACTATAGTATGTGTGTAGTATCACATGACAGGGCAACATTTTATTGTCATACCCCACCCGTATATGAGAGGGAGGGTGGTGGTGAGGGGGGGGGGGGGGGGGGGGGGGAAGGGTGGTGGGGGGGGGCTATTTTATCTCACCTGATCACAGTCGACCAGTTCCTGTTCACTTAGCGAGGTGAGGTTCCCAGTCTGTATAGCGTTTTGACCCTCAACGTTTCCAGTAGTAGAGAAGGCCCAGCAAGATCCACACATTCCTTGGTTTTTAACCGGCGTTACCGCGTCTGAAGTGTAGGGGTTATTGTCTTATTTTTTCAGCGATTATACCGAAAAGTGATCATATCAAAAGTTGTTACCCAATACTTTTCAAACTTTACAGAGTACAGCATATATTACAGATAAAATTAGACAGGGAATGGGTGGGGAACCAAACACGGTTATGCACGGTGAAATGTGGCAACAATTACATTTGAATAAATAAATAAAACTGACTCTTGTCCCTCCAGTCAATACTATCAGGAGTATCAGCGGTGTCCATGAACCCTGCAGCAGGGAGTAGAGTCCGGGCCTCATCCACATCCGTATCTGCCATCACCTGAGTATAGGGGCTGCTAAGAGAGTTGTTGAACTGGCGGCACCCTCAAATCAAACATTGCGGGTGAAGCTATTGGTCTTGATAAAGGTAAACGAGTCGCTGTGCACTACTTTCATCAAGGTGAGAAGCACCCTGACTCCTAAGCAGTGAGCACAGTTGGGCACTCACTAAACATGACCCATCAATTCGATATTATACAAGCACGCAATTCTTATTACGCGAGTTTAGTTTACCTTGTTGAGATATAATTTAGCGAACTCTTCTTTACTGAGATCAGCGAACTTTGTGGCCCCGTACACTGAACTACTTCCCTGTTCCTTGTGGCGTCTGGAAATGTAGTTATATAGTCATAGTTACCATGGTTACTACGGTTACTACTATAGTTACTATAGTTACTACTGAACTTTAAATCTTAATCATTACTAAAAATGGGTCATCTTGAGGACAGACAAAAAGAACAAATGTTGTGTATACTGTATAGTGTGACACCATACCCTTTTTCAAAAGGCGCAGGAAACCACCGCGCCGTCTCGACGATGGCATCTAATATAATACAATATAATGCCTTTACACTGCCTGTCACGATGTAGTACAGCCACAAGAAGTCGATATTCTTATATTATCTTGATTTTCTGTTAGGATTATTTCTGAATCAGATTACTAGGTAGCAGAATGAAGTCGAGTATGCACTTCGCTCGATGTACACGAATTTCGACAACACATGGTCCTTAGTATAGTCATTCTATATATGTCTTCTCATCATGATATATATACATGCTTTTCATACAAAGTTACAACGAATTCTTCATGTTATACATCCTGGGTTTGGACAGAATATGACCCGTTTAAAATATTTCCATCATGTTACATCACATAATTCTGAAACATATTATATTTACAATAAATTATGCAATAACAACATTATAACTTGTATTTTTTTATTATAATCAACAAAATAAATTTATATATAATATTATATAATTGATTTATACAGCTCGTCCTTGTAGACGTGGCTGGCGAGTACGTATCTTTTTATTCAGGAGATTCATCAAGTCTCCATTTTGTTATTACTTCCGATAAACTTATCCCTTCTACGTTCGTTTCCTAAAACTTGTTTCTCTTTGTCTTATTAGTATTACTAATCGGGGATTACTAGATCGGGGATTACTACATACCATTAACGGTACCACGATATATCTGGCCTCTTCTTTTCCTCCATACTTTTAGTTTTAGTAAATTAGCTCGTGTTGTGCAAGAAATGTGATTTATCATAGGTCATATCGCATTTTGTGGTGATTTTGAACAAGATGGCTAATCCTGAATTCGAAATCGAACCTGACACTGGAAATGAAGCTGACCCTTCAGCCAGACGAGAAAAGTCTTGGACAAGAATGGATAAACTTCTGTTAGTATTTGGTGTCGTCGTCAGCTTAGGAGATGGAGTGGAAGTCTATTTGCCTGGTTCGTCAAATACAAGAATTCCCAGATCACTTGCCGGATTAGTCAACACAGCAAAAGCCTCAATAGTTTGTTAGACTCCTTGCATTTCAATAGACCACTGAAATTTCTATCATTAAAATTTTAAAAATATTACTCCAAAAAACGATAGCCAAAAACTAAGAAGCACCCCTTTTTAACCAGGAGTTATAACGCAACAAGTGTCGTGTGAAATTGAACTTTCTCCATGGAAGGAAGCAATACTGGACTGCATTCAGTACTTCACCTTAGCAGTCGCTGTTGTTATCTCAGGAATATTGGCTCACAGGTGTGGTATCGTAAGAAATTAATTACTCTTATCTACAGGGTGGGCCAAAAGTCAGTACCCAAACGTTGGCCTTTATAGCTCAGTCACTGAGTGCCCAATTTAAATACTTCTTTCTGGTATGACCTAGCACTACCACTGGTTCGAGGAATTTGTCAATTCGAAAAATATTCGCGTTCATTTTTTTCAAATGGAGGTTCATTTTCACATTTATTTGATAGTTTGGATGGTCTGATCAAGCTAAATGATATTGAATTGTGTTTGGCCATTCGAATTACGTTTGTTCTGAAAGAATTAGAACTGTAGCTTCTCAGATGACCGAGATATGAAGCATAACGAGTTTATTCATTACATGTGATCAGGTGATTGGTTTACCTAATCACGTGATAAGGTGACCCCGTTAACTACCCCGTTAAACATTATGGGAATTGTTAATGGTGCCCAATTAAGGTGTCGTGTCACGGTGTCACATAATCACCCAGTCAATTTTGTTAACGAGATACAGAAAATGCTTGATAACTTCGTCATTTCTAATCTGTTTTGCCTCATGTTTTCAGATCATATGCAACATTTGATAATCTACCGTCTCTGAAAAAATTTGGCGTTCAGCATGTTCAGAGAAAACAATATAGGTGTTTTAATATTGAATGGGCGTGGTCTAAAATATTCGAATTTTCCAATTTTGACGACGGAGTCCTCGAACCAGTAAGTACAGTATGCCATCTGCAAAGCAACAGCTCTCAAATATAAAACACGGCGGAGCTATTAAGGCCAACGTATGGGTACTGACTTTTGGCCCACCCTGTAGTTAAAATAAACATTGAGACTCGACAAATGACATATTACAACTTTTTCAGAGAGTTAAATCTACTTCAGTGCTTACTGCTTCATTTGCCAACTAATTCTTAAACTAAAATTTAATCTTCTGCAGGTTTGGGTGTAGAGTTTTGATTCTGTTTTCCCTCTATTTATGCGCTATCAGCACAGTTGTCTGTGCTATAGTAGCTAACTACACCACACTTCTCCTTTCTAGAGCCCTTATAGGGTTTTCTGTTGGAATCAATTTTAATGTCCATTACGTCATGATTGCTGAACTGATTTCCACTAAAGCAATTCTTGACGATATAGTGATGATAACGTCCATGATGTACACCGTCGGGGGAATTTGGTCTGCTGTGTTGGGATACCTGCTGTTAGATGTGGTCGGATGGAGGATATTCATTCTTCTGACATCATTGCCTTTCTTCATACCACCCATTTTCATGCTCCACTTTTGTATTAAAGGGAAATCAGGACAAAAATCGGGACAAATAGAGAACCAGCAAAACCAAACAGTTAAGAAGGAAACAGTTAAGAAGGAAACGGTGACTGTTCCTAACTTTGTTGCAAGAACTACAAAACTCGGACTGTTTGTATTTGTGTCCTCGTTCCAGGGCTGGATTACTATTCTTCTTGTTCCGAAGTTGATCCAGGTTTTCAAGATCAAGGAAGCCGAACCAAACAGTGACTGCTCTGTGACCGTGACTCAAGGAAAGGAACTCCTGCTCCTGGCTCTGGTCACATTCGCAGCTTTTCTCGGACGGTTATCCATGCACTTCACGAAGGAGAAATTCAGTTTCCGCAAATCCCAGCTTATAGTTGCCATACTGAATGTGGCGAGTTTTGGAGGCATGCTTGCACAGGATCATCTTGCAGTCGCTGTTACGACCAACTTCATCATTAAGTTCTTGTATGGGGTCAATTGTATGGCTTCTTGTTACATTCTCTACGACAAAGATTACTTCGGAGCGGAGCGGTTTGCCCTGGGTTCCAGTGTTTCGCTTGCTGTGGGCTTGGTTGGAGGTGTAGTCGGGACGGGTATGGTGGCCTTTGCACCGCTACTGTCTGTCATAATTACTGCGTCAGTGCTCAGTGCTCTGCAGATTCCGGTGGTTCTCTCAATGACAGATGTTCAGTAGACATTAGATTTCAGGAGACTGGAGAAGGATGCAGATTTCATGAATCCGGAGGAGATTGGAAGACCTGTTTAATACGCTTTAACAATTTTCATTTCTAGCAGGATAAATAATACCGGAGGTAAAATATTCAATAGTTATAAAATTTATCCAACAATTTGTTCATTTCAATTGTAGTCTTGCTCAGTTAAGTTAATTCCATGAGAATTTTATTAGTTATACGTTATATCATAATATTATATTGAGTGTATAGTTGCATTTACGTTATCTGTGCTGATATGTCCCTCACTGTTTCCCCGAGCTACAACTTCACTGAAACCCGATGAGGGTAACACAATGAGCTTTATACATGACAAGACCAATATCACATGACAAGACCAATATCACGTGACAAGACCAAGGTCACGTGACAAGACCTAGGTCACGTGTCAAGACCTAGGTCACGTGACAAGGTCACGAAGTTCAAGCGTATACACCACGGTATTGTATACACGTGGTATAGACCACGTATTATGCGCAGATGTTCACGACAAATTTTTCAATATTCAAAAATGAGGTTTTTTGTTCACCAAGACGAGAAGAAGCATTAAATGTCAAAGGGCGTGGCCTGAAAGGACACGGGGCTTGACGACAGCAAGGAGATTATCAAACTCATGCTGGATAGAAAGATTTGGAAAAAAACTATCTCTGTTCGGACGCTGAAGCCGCCCTAAGTCGAGTAAGTCGAGTAAGTCGAGCATAACCTATAAATAAGAATGTATACCTGTTTTCCTTATTCCAGAGTTTACTATTCTTGTAGTAGGTCCAGAACCTCAGGTTATGCTCATCAGCTGTCTCGTACTGCAACAATCACAACGTCAAATAACACTAACCGATAACAAGCATAACAACATGTTAACAGTTACAGAAATCCTAATCACAAGATTAAACACCCGAATGTTCCCTGTAGCTAAGGGTTAATACTAAGGTAACTATACTAGCTACTATTTAAAGGTAACTATACTAACTACTATCTATATGTAACTATACAACACAGACAATAAGAAAACGCTGATTACTACATAATATCACCTGTTTGTCGTATTTCTCCATGAAGCGTTTGAAGGACGGTGAGTCAAGTCTTATCTCCTCCGCAGTTGCCATGGTAACAAATACCAAGACTACTAGTAACATCCTCATCATCTGCTACTGATACAATATAAAGTTACAATACAATAAAATATACACAATGTTACTTGATGTGATATGAATTACACGGTGGCTGTTCTATGTAACAGAGCCTTTGAAATGGTAACTCTACAGGAAATACCACAGCTTTTGTTGACTCAATAAGTCGAGAGCGTCGTTTTCTTATGTATACAACAGAGACGTACCGTTATATCCTTGCAAATTACTATTAACTAATTTACAAGAAATTCAGTTTTTAGTACTGGATTAAATAAAAACATTCAATCGAATAATCATGGCAAATTTATTAAAAAAGTACGATACAAAACGGATAAAAATTAAAATATCAATAATAACCAAAAATTACGAAAGCAATAACTTAAGAATATCTAAAGCAATCAAATTCTCTCGATCACCAATACCTTCAGAACCTGACGATAAGCGAAAAGGGCCAAAACTCACGATGAAAAATGAGGTGTTCTTAAACTTGAAATGGTTTTCGTAATATATGTATCAGGTTTACATTTTACAAACATGACAGTTAGTAGAAAAAACGTAATACTTAAAAACAAAGTTGTACTTAATTCTTACCAAAGTACCAAAGTAACAAAATCATAACTTGTAACCAACTTAATTCATTAACTACAGGAAGTTTAGTTAGAGGGAAATTAAATCAACATAGTATTAAGAAGTTCAGTAATTGCGCGTCACGACCGACACACGGCGTAACTTACGCCGTGTGTCGGTCGTGACGCGCAATGACTGACGCGCAATGACACACGGCGTTAGTAAAAGTTTGCTTTTTTCAATTGAATCTGGCACATAGTTTTTAAAGTACACTTACTAACATCGTTATCCTGATACGTGGGAGGCTGGTTTAGAAATGCCTCACATTCTGATTACGGAGTGTATGTGAAAAAAAATATGAAATGGCTTACCTTAATATATGAACAATCCCGCGGAGATACTGAGATATTAACACCACGGAGATAATTTTCAGCAAAAATTAAAATTAAATAATTCGGACTAACTAATAAAGTTCACTGAAACAAATTATGTAAAACATAAACTTTCTTTCCCCCTACATAGTCAATAAAGTTTTAAACTGATCAAGAAAAACGAATTTCAAGCATTTCCGTACAAATTAGCGAACAAATGTGTGGCTTTGAAAATCTGAACCTACAGTACAGAATACAAATCGCGAAGTCTTTGAAATCGGATTAGCCGTAAGGCAATTATTACTCACCAATCTAGTAAGTTCATTACAAAATTCTGATAAGAAACACTTAAGAAATAATCAAATTTACTATGACGTCATGTTTCATACGTGACACCATCACTCATATTATTACGTCATCACTCATATCATGACGTCATTATTCATTCCATGACGTCATGAAACATTATTAGTCGTCACCAAAAAACTATGACGTCACCAATCATACTATGACGTCACCATCAATTTATCGGTATGCCCGTTATCAGTTCTGTTATACCCACATCCAGGGTACTGTTGTTCGGTATTATCTTTTCGTCCCCTTCTGGTATGAACTGTACAGCACACATGATAGCGTACCCTAACGCGAGGAATAGTACCTGCGGAGGTATGATATTAATTAATTAATTAATTAATTAGATGATAATTAAGTGGAATTAGTCTCTGCATTAAGCAGATTATAAAGACAAGGTGTGGTCTTGATCATGTGGTATAAATTGTCTTATCATAATTACGTTGAAGGTGCCACTTGGGTACTGATTTTGAATAAAGATTTACATAATTCTAGAAATTTTTGCAGGATTTTATTGAGTGACAGTTTTGAGTTTTGTCCTGTGTTCTGAACGTACAGTTGTTAACAAATGAATGGAACATTTAACAGGCACGATTATTAATTGATAAAAGATCAACACCATCAATAAAATATGAACAGAAAAATATTCACATTTTTACCCAATGAAAATGTACATTTCTCTTAACATTTGTTTCCCCAAAATGATAACTTTGATAAACACAATACACATTACACAACTCCACAGACAGACTTAAGAAGAACCTCATGAAATGAACCAACGCTTTGATCACACATCAAAGCATTTCAGCAGTCATATACGTTCCATTCAAGTTCTAAATTCTTTAATAATTCTTCCTAACTGCAGTGCTATTTTTTATTTTGACTTGTTTACCGGATATACCAGATTGATATTTAATTTGCTTTCAAATTTTTAATTATAATTGTACGTTGTAACGTTCAACAGCGTTATTCAACAGCGTTTCGTTATATTACATATAACGTTCACGTTGCCTTACATAATTATTGAGTTTAACACAAAAAGTAACTTGCACGGATATAATTATATAATAAATGTATTATAATTATAAATATAAATATTGTTATATAAATTATAAATAAATTATATAATAAATGTCTTACGCTCACCTTCCTGTCAATTCAAGATGCATAATTATAGAATTGTCCTCATAAAGGTTTTTACAATTAGATGGACAGGATGACTGGGGCTAGTTGAGCTGGTCGTAAGTATAATTTAAGGCAGAGTATTCAATATTGTAATTTTACAACATAATATTCCAACACATTGTGTGATTAAGCTAAAATTCCTGCAAACTATAATATCATCTGCTACGAAACTACATATTATAACTTAACTAGAAAACCCGTGGTCACAGGGAGGAACCTAATAGTATTGTTTGGAAGTCAGTTTTAATCGTGTCAAAAAGTATTCATCCCCACCGAAGATACAGCCAAATAAAATGTTGCTCGTATTAAACACAGCGTAATATCAACAAAACCGATTAAAATGACGTTAAAACAATCATTGCACGTGCACGTGCGTGTAACAATCCTCGTTACTATGGTTACTACGCAACTTCCTATTTCTCGTCTGATTTGCACGTGGGCGGTCGTACTACAAAAACAATTCTTTGAATTATAGTAGAGATAACTATAATATATTATCTAATCGTGACTAAACTAAGGTGCCTTAATTTCAACCCCCCCCCCCCCGCCCCCCCCCCCCCCATTATTTCCTCTCCCTCTAAACTTTATTTTCTTTTCCTGCCCCAAAGCTCCTCCTAAAGACATTTAGGAAATTTGCGGCAAATTTGACGAATATAGGGGCTTGATTGTATACTTATATACAACGTTACATCACAAGATTGTTCAGTTTAAGACAACAAAGGACGCTCAAGGACAATCTTACAACAGATTGTATTCAAGCATATCGTTACCTTGGTTGGCAACTATAATATCTAATTGTGACTAAAGTGCCTTAATTTGAATCTGTTGGGGAGTGTGGCAGTGTGTTCAACATTGAGGAGTTGTTAGCCACTATTCACCTGTTCAACCTATCCTGTTTGCTGTTGTTGTAAGTTGCCGCATTGTCACCACGTCATAATATTGATAATTGTATCTGGGGATAAATTGTTCGTTGTGTTTTTCTCATTATTTTTTATTTAACTTCTTCTTTTTTTAATTGACATACAAACAAGTTGATCATAACCATTAACATATCGATCTTATCTCAATACACACAGCAGTACCCACTACCCGGGTGAATATCTCCCAACTTTGATGACACAAAAATTATGCAGAATTGTGCCATAAGGTTCGCAAATTTTGGAATAGTTTGGATAACACCGAATGGTGCAATTTCCACCACATAAAGGCTAGCTTATATATAACATTTGACGAAAGTCGAATACAAGGAAGTACTATCGAGAAAACCATATTATATAGCTGACTTTGGCAGGGTAGTGTTGGTTATGTGCCTGACCTGGAGAACACAGCGGATATCCTTACTGTACGGCTAGTTAAACAAGGAATTAAAACTGTGTGGCTCCGTGCAGCCCAACCTACCTGTGGCGAAAGCTCTAATATACAAAAACAAAACATTGCATTTGTTATCTGATCTCGAGGTGTGGTACGACATTTCGTTAACCCAATAAATGCCTGGAAAACTGCAAATTTTCACATGTCCAGTATCTGATATTATCACGACTAGACCGCCCCTAGCTCCACCAATAGGGAGCCCAATAGGGAGCCCCACCAATAACAATAAGATATTTGGTAATTCCATGAGGCACTAGCACCACGAGAAGCAAACGATGTCTTTGTTATGGTTGAGAGAAAATGGAATGCTTTAGCATTTTATAATACACCCCACAAAGCGGGTTCTATCTGATAGAAAGCTCCGGGTGCAAAGACAAGGTGTTTGTCTTTGTGTAAACCCGAGGCAAAACTATTCTTTGTTTGAAGTGAATTATAGATAAGGGCGGGATTGTGAGAGAAGGGTTTTCACCAACATTTGTATGGGTTCGTTAAACAGGCCAAGACACATGATCACAGTTAAGCATCACCTACACATTACACTGTACAAGTCACGTGTCTAATGTCTATACTGTACAAGTCACGTGTCTAATGTCTACACTGTACAAGTCACGTGTCTAATGTCTACACTGTACGAGTCACGTGTCTAATGTCTACACTGTACGAGTCACGTGTCTAATGTCTATACTGTACGAGTCACGTGTCTAATGTCTACACTGTACGAGTCACGTGTCTAATGTCTACACTGTACGAGTCACGTGTCTAATGTCTACACTGTACGAGTCACGTGTCTAATGTCTATACTGTACGAGTCACGTGTCTAATGTCTACACTGTACGAGTCACGTGTCTAATGTCTATACTGTACGAGTCACGTGTCTAATGTCTATACTGTACAAGTCACGTGTCTAATGTCTATACTGTACGAGTCACGTGTCTAATGTCTTTACTGTACGAGTCACGTGTCTAATGTCTATACTGTACGAGTCACGTGTCTAATGTCTACACTGTACGAGTCACGTGTCTAATGTCTATACTGTACGAGTCACGTGTCTAATGTCTATACTGTACGAGTCACGTGTCTAATGTCTATACTGTACAAGTCACGTGTCTAATGTATATACTGTACGAGTCACGTGTCTAATGTCTTTACTGTACGAGTCACGTGTCTAATGTCTATACTGTACGAGTCACGTGTCTAATGTCTACACTGTACGAGTCACGTGTCTAATGTCTATACTGTACAAGTCACGTGTCTAATGTATATACTGTACGAGTCACGTGTCTAATGTCTATACTGTACGAGTCACGTGTCTAATGTCTATACTGTACGAGTCACGTGTCTAATGTCTATACTGTACGAGTCACGTGTCTAATGTCTATACTGTACGAGTCACGTGTCTAATGTCTATACTGTACGAGTCACGTGTCTAATGTCTATACTGTACGAGTCACGTGTCTAATGTCTATACTGTACAAGTCACGTGTCTAATGTCTATACTGTACGAGTCACGTGTCTAATGTCTATACTGTACGAGTCACGTGTCTAATGCCTATACTGTACGAGTCACGGACTTCCTGAGAAATATGTTAGAATCTTTCAGGCATTCTTCAACGGAACCATGAGTGCTGTCAGGGTTAATGGTGAAATGTCTGATTGGTTCTCTGTTAATTCGGGCACTGGACAGGGTGATATCCAGGGCCCTCCTGTATTTAATTTCTGTCTGAACTTTGGAATCTTTTTGGCCGAGGTTCACAAGGCAATCAGTCATGGTGCTGTACTGCAAAAGGAACTAAAGGGTGCAGATGAAAAAGTTATCATGGATAGTGACTACGCTGATGATCTGGCAGTGATGGACAATACTGAAGAAGGGCTGCAAGAGTCCACTGATCTTATAGCTTATTACACCTCTTATGCTGGGTTGAAGATCAACGCTAAAAAGACACAATGCATGGCGATCAGCAAGTGTGCGTCCCAGCGACCTTACACCGAAAGAGACAGTATAAAGCTAACAGTGGAGGGAGAACCTGTTGAACAGGTCAGCAACTTTGTTTATCTTGGTGCCAACATCAGTGGGGATGGTACCATTGACCGAGATCTTGACATCAGGATCCAGCGTGCTAATGGTGCGTTCCATCAGCTTTGGAAGATACGGAACAGTCGAACTATAAGAACGCCCACCAAGATCCGTATCTACAAGGCTGCTGTTATTACTATTCTGTTATATGGAGCTGAAGTGTGGAACACAACAAAGAAGCAGATGAAACGGTTTGAGGTCTTCCATCTGACCTCCCTGAGAAGAATCTTGAAGATAAAGTGGTTCTTCCATGTCTCCAATGAAGAAGTTCTCAGGCGTGCTGGAATTAAGTCTATCGAAACTAAGGTGGTACGGACATGTTGTCAGAATGCCAGAGACGCGGTTCCCCAATTTCTTACTGGATTGGAAACCAAACTATGGAAAGAGACTGAGAGGACGACCCCGCAAAGGCTGGATGGCCTGTGTACTCGAGGATGCGGCTGAATTCACAGGTGTAGATAACATCAGCAGAGATGCAGTAAAACAGTTGGCTCTAAAGCGAGTGGAATGGAGGAACATGTTACGCCGTAGAAGAGATGTGTGTGATGCAGGCCACTCCAACGACTAGGAGGAGACCTCTTCATGTAGCATGTATGTATGTACGAGTCACGTGTCTAATGTCTATACTGTACGAGTCACGTGTCTAATGTCTATACTGTACATGTCACGTGTACTAT